TTAGTGACACCCAACCCATACCAGGTCTTGTATTAGAAGGCATGAGCCAGGCAGACCCTAAGCCCTGCCCTCAAGAGCTGTTTAGGGCAGTGAGGATGGACAGAGTAGTAGACACAGGCCAGAGAGATGAGAGAGGGAACCCCAACATAGTCCGGAAAGGGTTCTAGAGGAAGTGATTTGGATGGAAGTTTCTGTGAGATCTGAAGGGCTCCTTCCTGCATTCAACAAATATCCACTGTGCTCTGCTCTCTGCCAAGCTTCATTCTGAGTAGATGAGGGAGAAGGCTCCCATGCAGGGCAGAGGCAGGCCAACCAGTCAACTAAAAGCGCACTGCTCTTTCACACCAGTGAGATGCTTGAAGGACAGCCTAGTGGGGTAAGAAGGGAAGGGAGCTCTCTGGAGTGGGCTCTGCAGGCCAGGAAGGCCGTAGAGGTTGCTGGGTTTGGCAGGAAGCAGAGGGACAGCAGTCCAGGTGGAGGGACAGCAAGGGCAAGCCTGCCGAGCCAGCCTGGCAGCAAGGGCCGGGTGGCTGCAGTGGAGCAAGGCAGGCGACCTGGAGGAGAAGACAGGCCTCTTCCCGGACCCCAGAGGCCACGGCGGCCAGCTGTGTGGATGTTACTCTAGGTGTGAAGAGAAGCCAAGGAGGGACCTTGCCAGGTGGGAGGAAGCAGAGAGTCACATGACCTGGGAATAAACCTTGAGCGGGTAGACAGTGGAGACAGTGGAGACGAGAAGACTTGGGGGACAGTGGTTGCCACACAGGCAGGGCCTGGGGCGGTGGTGACGAGTGAGAATTCTCCGGGCTAAGAGCTGGCGCCCTACCTTCCCAGTGGCAAAGCCCAAAACGAGGGACATTGCACAGAACGACTGGCCGGTACTTCTAGGGCGTCAAGGTCGTGAGAGACCAAGAGCTGAGGAGCTGTCCCAGGTGAAGGGACCAGCGAGCTTGGCAGGCGCCCGAGCTGGATCTGAGACCAGAAAACAGATAATTGTGGAATGTTTGGCACAATTATTGTGTGTAAAGTAATAGTATTGTTTCAGCGTTACTTTCTTGATTTTGCCTGTTGTCATAGGGTTATGTTGGAGAATATCCTGGGGCTCAGGAGGTACTAAAATATTAGGAAATACTAAAGAGGGGAAAAGGGGGGAAAGTAGTGGCTGAAACAAAAAGCTGTTTCCCACCGCGCTGTGGGTGGGCTGGGTACTTCCGCTGTGGTTTTGGGGGGCCTGTGGTTGGTGCTGCATTGGTTGGGTCTTGGATTTCCCTCCACTTGGCTGGGGCCTGCACCTGCCTTTCTACCTGGGATCTTAGCAAGCCATGTCCAAAGGGTGAGGGTAAAGCTGCAAGTGCCCACAGCCTGGGCACTGAACTTACGCTGCGCTTTTCCCCACACCCTATTGGACAAAGCGAGCCCAACATCACCCCCAAATACACCAGTGGGGAGATTGACTCCACGTCTTCACAGGTGACAGATATTTAATCTCCCATAGTCTTCCCCCTTGAGATACAGGGGAGGAAGTCTCCCTTTTGTCTGCCTCTCCCAGCTACCAGGGCTGCCCCCCACCCCTCTCATCCCCCCAACACAGAATCAGCATCCGAATTTTTATCTAAATGGAGCATGAGAAACTGTAAATGTGGAGAGGTATGAGTCAATGGAAATGTTTTCAAACGGATCACAAAAGTTTTCTTTTATTGAGATATCGGATGTGTAGAAAAATTATCTCATTTTGTTCTGAGTTTCAACAAAAGCAACCCGTTGTTACCAGCACAATCATGTGTCTTGAAGTCAGAACTTCCCCCATAATCACAGCTCAGTTTTCTGCCCCTAGAGTTTTGCCTCTTCCAGAATGTCAAGTAAATGTAATAATATAATCTGGCATTTTTCAGATGAATGCTTTTGAATTCACCCGTGAGTTCTGAATATCAGCAGTTTGTTTTCTTATCTATTATTCCACTGTATGGATATCTAGAGTTTATTTATCCATTCACCCACTGAAGCACAGTTTTTGACAATGAATAGAGCTGCTGTAAGCCTTCACGCATTGGCTTTTTTGTGTAAACAAAGTTTTCATGTCTCTAGAGTAAACACCTAAGAAGACAATCACTGAGTCACAGAATGATTTATGCCCGACTGTAAAAAACTGCAGCCTGCTCTCCAGAGTGCTGTGCCATTTTACTTTTCCCCTAGCAGCGTATGGGAGTTCCTCCAAATCCTTGCCAGCACTTGGTATCATCAACATTTCTTATTTTAGCCATTCTAGTAGGTGTGTGAAGTGTGAATTTGCATTTCCCTAATGAGCATGTGGTTGAGTCTCTTTTCATGTGCTAATTTACCATTCATGTATTGTCTTTATTGAAAGCTCTGTGTGTGTTCAAATTCTTTCACATTTTTTGAATGAGTTCCTTGTTTTCTCATTATTGAGTTTTGAGAGTCCTTTATATATTCTAGATACAAAGTCTTTGTCAGATTTGTTTTGCAAGTATTTTCTCATTTGTAGCTTGTCTTTTAATTTTCCTAACAGTGTCTCAGAGCAGAATTTTAAAATAAAGTCCAATTCATCAATAAGTTCTTCTCACAATGCTTTTGACATTGTGTGTAAGAAACCTTTGCCTAATCCAAGTTCATAACCTTTCCCCCTGTGTTTTCTTATAAACCTTTGAGAGTTACGCATACAGGTCTGTGATCCATTTTGAGAACTTTTTGGTATAAAATGTGAGAGATGGATTCGGGTTCATCTTTCTGCATATAGATTTCAATTTTCTAGTGTCAGTAGTTGAACAGTGATTGCAAATTACCAGGACTGTGTGTGTTTTGGATAGTGTGAGGGAAGGGGGTGGTGAATGGCTGGCTGGTGGGGGGGCGGCTGGGGTGGGAGGTGTGTGTGTGAGTTGATGGGGTTTGGATGGACGCAGCAGAGGCTACATGAGCAGCGCTCAGGGCCTCAGCTCCCACCTGGGAACGAGGCCCTGGAGTTCCACCATTCCCATGGGCAGTAGGCCATCCGGCAGCCCTGTCCAAGAGAAAAGCCTTCGGTGGACCTTGCCAGGTCTCGTGTGCTTACTGTTTAACACTCTGAGTGAGAATGAGCTTTCCCTGTACCCACTGGGGGTGTGAATGTCGCTCCAAGCAGACTGTGCCCACACAACCTTTATTGTCAGGTATTTTGTGGATGGAGCCCCTGGGCTCTCTTGGGCTCCTTGATATGGAAGGAGCCTGGTAAGGTGCTGAAACACGGGTCTGCCAGCGGGCAGGGAGCAGGGCCTCGCTCAGTCATCAAAGCGGAGCTGGAGTGAGAGGGAGAGAGAGGACAGCCCCACATTGGGCGCTGTGGGCCTCTGCTGGGTGCTCAGCTATGGCGGGGCTGCAGGGTGCTCCTGGGTCTCGCTGCCCCCCATTCTACTTCCGGGATCCCTCTCCTGAGGAAATAACCCAAGATGTGGGTCAGGCTTTGTCCCCAGCTTTGTTAGGTGGCAGAAAACTGGTACCCGCCTGAGTGCCAAGGATGGATGAAATGAACTCGGAGCTCATTGTCCTCGCTGTCCTGCAGCGCCTCAAAGGGCAACGCAGAGCCGGTGGCCCTGGGGGTGAGCCCTGCGCAAAGCTCCGGCCGGCGGGGGGCAGGCACTGTGCGTGCGCCCAGGGGCCTTTTTGAGAATCACAAGTTTATGTAGGAATATACATTTTGTCCCTGGCCACAACACTTTCAGGGCCAGCTTCTCCCATAGCCGGTCCTTCATCCCTGCAGCCCTCCCGCCAGGGCTTTATTTTAAGCAGAAGCCCTGCCCTCTTCTCACACTGCACCTCTGTCAAGCCCACTGCCAGGCAGCTGGCAGCTGCCGGGGGCTGGCCGCGAGGTGCAGTGCGAGGAGAGGGCAGAACCGGCAGGAGGAGCAGATCTCAGCCAGCAGCCTGGGAGATGTGCTGGGCACCAGCCTCCCTGCCCTGGCCATGTATCTGGTAGTGGGGAGGGCTCCTGTAGCCCCATTTTCACCCCCTGGTCCCCCACTGCCCCCAAGGATGTCTGTCTGCACATAGCACCTTGAGAAAATAAAATTTTAGTAGTCATAGTACCCTTTATTAAAATGAACTTTTAGACTGATGGTGACTGTATAGAACAGATATACATACAAGCTCCCGACAACACCTTCTTGTGGGGTACCATGGAGGCTGTGCCAGAGCCCAAGGCAAGAGCGTGGAGATTTGCAAATGGATGGGTGGAGTCAGGAGTGATACTGAAAATATTGAACAAAGAAGTGGTCCCGGCTCTTATCAATTATTATTCAGTCCGATAGAAGACAGAATGGGAGCTGAAGCATTGAGAAGGCACTCACAGAGCTTAGGACAGTGGCAATCAACCTCTCAAGATGGAAGTCTTTATAGATTTCAACAAATGATGTAGCTGCATGTCACCCATCCATGGATGGACAGAAAGGTGGATGGAGAAGTAGACTGAGGGATGGATGGATAGATAGGTGGGTGGATGGATGATTGGGTGGATGGGTGGATGGATGGGTGGGTGGGTGGATGGGTGGATGAATAGATGGATGGGTGGGTAGGTGGGTGAGTAGATGGATGGATGGATGGGTGGGTGGATGAATAGATGAGTGGGTGGGTGGGTGAATAGATGGATGGGTGGGTGGGTGGATGGATGAATGAATGGATGTGTGGATAGATGGGTGGGTGGGTGAGTAGATGGCTGAGTGGGTGAATGGATGGGTGGATGGATGGGTGGATGGGGATGGATGGAAAATGAGAGAAAAAGTAGGTGTAACCGATGGGTAAGAGGACTTACAGAGGCATGTATGAGAAGTTGGAAGAGTTGAGACAGAAGGTAAATGGGAAGCTAGGAGAAAGGGTGGGTGAAAGGCCTGGTATCTATGGAGGAATAGAAAGACTGAAGGGAGAGAGGGAGGGATGGAAGAGGCGCGCAGACGTTGGGTTGGCTGCAGAGGAAGGCCCCCTGGTGACGGCCTGGCTCTCGGCTCTGGCGCCCGCAGGCAGCTTCCTCGTGCCCTACATCATCATGCTCATCGTGGAGGGGATGCCGCTGCTGTATCTGGAACTGGCGGTGGGGCAGCGCATGCGACAGGGCAGCATCGGCGCCTGGAGGACCATCAGCCCCTACCTCAGTGGCGTGGGTACGTGAAGTGCTCCCTAGCCTCTCCCAGGTGGGCAGGAGAGTACCCGGGCAGTGTGGCTGGGGCTGGGAGTCCATGACAAGGCTCCCAGAGCAAGGGGCCCGCAAGAAGCCCGAGAGAGAGTCCTTGAGAGGGGTGGACAGATGGCCCAGGAGAAGATGCTGGCTGGTACGGACAGGGCTGGCGTCCCCCCACCGGGGGATGAGGAAGGGAGGACGCACATGGGACTGACACCACATTGCTTCTCTTCACTGAGCCTGGGTTTGCTCACAGATGAAAGAGCAAGAACTGCCCAACAATAACTCAGTGTTCTCACACCATTCTGGGAACCCACATAACCGCCCTGCTACTCAATAACAAGATCTCGCTTTTAGTGAGCACCTACTAGGTAGCAGCTGCTAGCCTGTGTGTGTGTGAGCTCACTTAAGCTTGCGCACACCACTGAGAGGTGAGAGAGGGAGGTTTCCTCCGTTTCTCCAGGGTGTGGAATCTGAGGAGAGCTGCTCATACCCACCTCTCCTTCACCTCCTCACGCCCTGTCCCAGACCTCTGGGACATGGATCACCTGCCCTGCAGCCTCACATCCCAGGGCTGCCTCTGCGGGCAGGAGGAAATTTGCCCGACAATGGCCTCCGTCTGTTCTGCTTAGTCCTTCCACCCCCAGGTGGGGAGGCAGGCAGGAAAGTAGGGTGACATCTTAGAAGCAAAGGCGAGTAAACGCATTTGTGGCCTAGTCTCGGCTGTAGAAGAAATGTGTCCAGCAGCCTCCCACTTCATACCCAGACCTGAACTTATTGAAAGGCTATTAATCTTTAACATGGAGGTGTGGGGTTTTACAATCTGCCCAAGTAAATGACCCCAAAGGGCTTCTCTGAGGCAGTATTTGTTGTATAATAGGAAAGATACCAGAGGTTTGTGCTAGTCAGGGTGCTGGTCGATGTTTAATAGGCGGCTCTCAAGGAGCTGGGTTCGAGGTAGGCCTAGAACACTCGAGATGCAGCGATGTACAAACTCCTGCCACAACCAGCTTCTAGCTGGTAACCAGATGCCCCAGACGGCTCTGCCAGCAGGCCAGACCTGGTGGGAGGCAGCCCCCGCCCCTCCTGACCCACCACCTCACAACTCTCCTCCCCACACCTGTAGATGGAGCTGACCCAAGGGGTCCCACTTCAGGTGAGCTGGAGGGAAGACCTGCTCACTTGAGGTGTGGCGTGAGACGTGATTGGCAGTGACAGTCCTTCTCACAGTGGGTTTAAGTGTTTGTTTTGCCACTCACTACCAGCCTAGTGGCCCTGGACAAGTGCCCAGCCCGGCTGTCTCCTGTGTGAAGTGGGCACAGTTAACACCCCAGCACAGCACTGTCGCCAGACTTACATCACATGAAAGACTTAGCATAACACCTGCACTTAGGTGCCGAAATCTGCCACCAACCTCCTGTCCGGAAAGTGGGGCCAGAGACAAACACTTAGAAGGTGCTCACAGATCACCTGCAACCCTCGGGGTCTCCTGAGATAGGCTTTGCCACCCCCAGCAAGCCTGCGGCCTCCCCAGGGCGGCGGGAGAAGAGCCTCCGCTGCTTCCCTTCTATTTCTATAGAAAATGTGGAAGGGGTTTTAACCCGTAGAAAAAGGGGAGCCCGACCCCTCACTGGGTGATATCAGTGAGCAGAGAAGAGCCCTTCTGCTTCCTTGCAGGTGTGGCCAGCGTGGTGGTGTCCTTCTTCCTCTCCATGTACTACAACGTCATCAATGCCTGGGCCTTCTGGTACCTGTTCCACTCCTTCCAGGTGAGGGGTGCCCACGCCAGGGTAGAGGAGAGCAGGAAAGGGTTAGTGCCCCAGAGAGATCAGGAAGTAGTGGGAAGAGCTGGTAGGAGCCAAGCACCCCAAGCCAAGTGGGGGGCTTCTGCACCTGGGATCCCTGGGCCCCCGGAATTGTAAGTCACGCCATGCATATATGTTTGAGTCTATACAGGCCCACAGCTCTCACTGGGTTCTCTCTGAAGGCTGTGACACCCGAGTAACAAGAGCCTCGGCACACTGGGTGGGAGAAAATCTGGGGAGAGCTGATGGGGGGACCCACCAACACAGTGGACGGAGAGCCTCCCTCCACACCGCCTCTCAATGTGCCTCACCCCAACACTCATCCTTCGCCATCTCTGACCCAGGCCAAGGCCCACGCACCCTGCAGACCAAACACCCCATTGTCTCCCATGTATTTTGACTATCCCACAAAACGAACATTTTAAATAGTCTCTGATTTAACCATAACCGTAGTTCTATAGAAAATACGGAAGGGGTTTTAAACGGTAGAGAAAGGGGAGCCCGATCCCTCACTGAGTGGCAATCTTTGTATCCGAGAACGGGAGTTTCCCATGCTCATCTGTCTTCCTCAGAGCTTGCCTTTGAGACAGAAACTAATGGGCAGGTGCCTCACCCTTTGCCACTGAGTCAACCCTTTATGGGACCAGAGCGAGCAGGGCGGCCATGGACTGTGGACTGACTCCCATGGCTCTCGGGGTTCACCTCCAGTCACTGGCCCTCTAGGGAGTGTGTGGGCGAATTACCTCAATCATAGGGCTAAGCCTGCACTGGTCTAGCCACCCACACCCAGGTCACCCCATCAGAAATCCCCCACCCCCCAGCAGGAAGGATGTTCTGCCCTGAGCTTGACTTCCATGAGTCTAGCCACACCCGCCATCCTCGTCACGGCTCAGCCGAGGCATCCATGGACACGGGCCGGGCCCGTCTCGCCCCTGCTTCCGAGCTCCGCGGCCTGTCCCGTGTGGCCTGTCCCGCGTGGCCTGTCCCGCGTGGCCTGTCCCGCATGGCGGGCCTTCTGCGCACTGCACGGTGACATGCCATAGGGGCTGTGTTGCATGCTGCGGGCGCTGTGGATTTCTGTGCTTCTGATGGTAACTTTTCAAGAGCAGAAGCCACACGTCCTTCCCTAACAAAGTCAAGCTAAGTATCCACTTTTCAAAGGTAGAATAAATGTGTCTCCAAAAGGGGACATTTTTTCTTTCTTTTTTTTTTTTTTTTTAACATTTACTTATTTGTGCATACACAACTGGGGCACAGGCCAGAGATGCAGGAGCAGTGAGAGGCTTCACCAGAGACAGTGGGGAGCAGAACAGGCCGACTGACCAAGTACACTGCTGAGGGGAGCGGCGGGCAGGTCAGGAGAGGTCTGCCACGTCACCTCCGGAGCTGGGGATAGAACTTGCATTGAAGCAATGGCGGCTTGCTTGCAGGGCTGTGTTCTAACCCACTATGCTACCAGGGAGGGCCCAGGGGGACACTTTTCTGGACCTCACAAGTGTGAGGGTCAGCAGTTCCTGAAAACTACTTGACTGAGCACTCCCCCTTCATAGGAGCCCCTTTGCCTGGAGCGCCCCTCAGCCTCCAGCCCCCACGGTCACAGCAGCAGCAGGTGGCACTTGCGCTTGCTCTGGGCCAGGGAGAGTCGCCCCACGTGAGTGGTACCTGCTCATGTAATCATGACCACGACCCAGCGACGCCCAGGACTTGAGTAGCTGTGAGACTGGACGCAGATGGCCTGGTCAAGAGATGAGCTGTTGCAGACAGCTCACCGCAGACAGGCCTCCAGCCTCAGGCTGGCCTTTCCCAGAGGGTCCTTGTGGGCAGAGTGCCACGGGAGAGACCGGGTGCTGGGAATGTGCCCACTCAGTGCCCTTCTTTCAGTACGCGCAGCTGCTACACCTGGCAGTGCCCGGGAAGAGCTCACCTGGGGGAGATCTTAAACCCCGAATCTGAGGCCCCACCTCTGACCGATGAAGGCCGTGTTACTGGGTACATCCAGACCCGGCATTTTTTTTTTAATTATTATAATAGTTTATTTTTACATCATGTTGTGCCTTTTTCCATCTCAGTTGTAATCCCTTTGGGCTTCCCATCACCGAATCACCCTGTGCCATCACCATAGTCCAGTGCACCTCCCTCCCCCCTCCCCACAGCTTTTGATCCCCATTCCCCACTCCACCCCCGTAAAATCTCTGGAATATAGTTGTTCAATATTATTATTTTCTCACCTGGACCCGGCATTTTTTTTTAAATAATAGAATAGTTTATTTTTCCATCATTTTGTGCCATTTTCCATCTCAGTTGCAATCCCCATAGGTTTCCTGTCACCAAATCACCCTGTGCCATCACCATAGTCCAGTGCACCTCCCTCCCCCCTCCCCACAGTTTTTGATCTCCATTCCTCCCTTTACCCTCATAAAATGTCTCTGGTCTATAGCTGTTCAGGAGGACCCGGCATTTTTTTTTTTTATTACAAAGTTTATTTTTACATCATTTTGCACATTTTTTTTTCCATCTCGATTGTAATCCCCGCGGGTTTCCCATCACCAGATCACCCCTGTGCCACCACCCTAGTCCCATGCATTTCCCTCCCTGCCCCCCCCCCCGTTTTTGATCCCATTCCCCACTCCACCCCCACAGAATGTCTCTGGTCTATGGTTGTTCATTATTTTTGTTATTTTCTCGCCTGGTCCATTATACTCCTGCTATGAGTGACACCATCCGGTATTTTTCTTTCTCTTTCTGGCTTATCTCACTAAGCAGGATCTTTTCCAGCTCCATCCAAGTTGCTGCAAAAGACATGTGTTTCTCTTTTTTGGTTGCTGAGTAATATTCCATTGTATATATGTACCACATCTTTTTAATCCAGTCATCTACTTTTGGGCATTTGGGCTGCTTCCATGTTTTTCCAATTGTAAATAAAGCAGCAATAAACATGGGAGTGCAGGTATCTTTTTCAATCAGTGTTTTTGTGTCTTTTGGGTAGATACCTAGGAGTGGGATTGCTGGGACCCGGCATTTTTAATGTCCCCTCTTTCCCTTGGGTGATTCAGTCTCCTCGCCAAGGGTGGGACTGGGGTCAGCTGGGGGCATGTGCCATGGGCCAGTGAGTCCCAGAAACCGGGAAAATGTCAGGTGGGTCTCCCCTGGGCTTCATGCCTTCGGGGGAGCCTTCCGCCTCCTGTGGTGCGTGCAGGCTGTCTCCGGGCACCTGGGTCCCCTCCACAGCTGTCCTTTCCTTGAGTCCTCATGACTCAGAAGCCTCGCCTCCATGCCTGTCTGTTTCCAGGCTAAGGGAGCCGTAGAAGTCACCCAGCGTCACTTCACTGCATTCTCTGGCCACAGCAAGTCTCGGCTGACCCAGATTCGGGGCACAGTAGCAAATGCCGCCCCTTGTGAGGAAGTGTTAGCGGCCTGTGGAAACATCCTGGGTCAAATTCCGATGGGCAAAGGACCCCTGATTGCTGCCAGGGGTCCCTCCAGCCTGGACCCCGAGCACTCTGGGATGTGCAGACCCTGCTCCTGCTGCTCCCTGGTAGGGCAGCCATGTCTCATGAGGTGGTGCCTTAGGCCTCGTTCTGTTTCCTACAAACTGCAGAGTTGAGCCCAGTGGGGTCAGGCTCACTTCTGTCCATAGAGAGTTTTTGCCTAATGAAGTCTAAGTTTGTGGAAACCAGATATGTGCATAAATAGTAAATGTGGGGCCGGTCTTGGCAGAGAGAGGTAGGACCCCTAACTCCTCTCATGCCAGAGTGAAACCACCGTGCACCCCTCAACTCAGTAGTCTATTTAGTACTTGGCCTTGGGTCAAGTTCATTGTACTGTTCGGACGCTCTTGTTGCTGAGTGACACCGAGTATAGTGTGACACAGGCCCAGCCCAGCTTCTCTATCCTAGGTGACATGACGGCTGTGGGGAGGCTGACCCTCACCTCTCCTGATTCCCAGGCCTGCTGTCTGGGGTAGGACGGGCCTGTCTCCACCAGCTCTCGGCGAGGGCAGACCTTGCCAGAGCTGGCTCATGACCTGTGGAAATAAGCAGAGACCACCCCAGGGAGAACAAGCCGAGGCTGTTTGGTGGCGAGGGAGTCTGCAGGGTCCTTTGCTCTTGGCAGAGACATCGAAGCCAGCCGGGGCAGCCAGTGGGAAAGAGGGCTGCTTGGTGTGGCCTGCTGGGCAGTCACAGGCACCGTGGGCCTGGGGCAGCTCCAGGCAGGCTGGCTCGGGGAGCCTATGTGGCCTTGTCTGGCTGGTCCTGAAAGGAAGGGCTCGCGCTGTGGAAGCTGGTGGTCAGCGGCCAAGTCCTGACCAGCATGTGCTAGGCCACAGCTGATGAGCCGGAGCCCTGGGGCAGGGTGCTGCCATTGTTGTGAGTCAGCGTTCAGTTGCTGTAGATGTGTGGCCGCTCTGATTCAGCCTCTCAGACACCCAACAGACTTCCACGGTCCTCAGTGAGCACCTGGGGGTTGCAGGCAGTGTGGCACCCCCTCCTCCCAGCCTCTCCCTGCCCTGCCCACTCCCAAGCCCCATGGGCATCTGCTGACAAACTCTCCATGCCCTGGCACAGGGACCAGCTCCCTTCTCTTCCGAGCGCCTCCTATCAGGGCCACCTACCCTCACCCCCCGCCCCCATGACATCAGCCTCGGCCCTCACCTCATTCTATGATGTTCCTTTGAATCCCAAAGGACCCCCTGCCGTGGTCTGTATGCCCCCTGAACAGCAACCACACAGGCCTGGACGAGGAGTGCGAGAAGGCTTCGTCCACGCAGTACTTCTGGTACCGGAAGACGCTCAACATCTCGCCGTCCATCCAGGAGAATGGGGGCGTGCAGTGGGAGCCGGCGCTGTGCCTCATTCTGGCCTGGCTCGTGGTATACCTGTGCATCCTGCGGGGAACCGAGTCCACTGGCAAGGTGCGTTGGGGGGTGCAGAGGCGTGGAAGGAGGGGCAGCAGCTGGGCCTCCTCCCGGCATGGGCCAGGCCGACAGCATCCTTCTGCCGTCAGGGTCAGAGCCAAGCTGGATGCTGCTGGCGTGAATCGCCTACCGGGTGGCCAGAGGTGCTTGCAGTTGCAGCTCTAAGTCGTGAGAAAGGATGATCCTTATACCTAGAAAGAGGAGCACTTCTATACACCGGCCAGTCCCCAACCCAGGCTCCCTGGGAGGCGCCAAGCAACCAGAGAGTGAATATCTCCTTCCAGATGATGTCTGAGTGACCGCTGTTATCCCCAAGACACCTAGCTGTGGTTCTGCTATCATCCTAGGGTTTTGTTTTTTTTTTTTAAGATTTATTTATTTATGCATACAGAACTGGCATACAGGCCAGAGGTGCAGGGGCGGTGAGAGGATTCACCAGAGACAGAGTGGGGAGCAGAACAGGCAGATCCACTGAAATATATTGCTGAGGGGAGCAGCAGGGAGACAGGACAGGTTTGCTGTGCCATGTGAGTCAGCTTCCTGGCTGGGGATCGAACTCAGGCCATCGCAATGACAGTACTGAGACTTAACCTGTAGGCACCCCCCCAAAATGTTTTTGCTGTGTGCCTTTGCTAGATTATTCTGAACATGATCCAAAAGAGCTAAGAGAAGCACCTAAAATCTGGAGCTAGATTCCAAATGGCCACCCCTTTATAAACGTGTGGCTAGAGGTCATGTCATGAAAACTCATTTATCCCCACCGCTTTCCCGACAGAAGTGCCCCGAAGCTCTACTCCAGGGGATTCCATTTATTAAAGCCCACGACTGTGTCCTGACCTCCTCTGTTGGAATCTTCCATTTTCCTCCTGGAATTTTCATAGATGGGTCAGAAGTGTCTTCTCCCAGGAGTTTAAGCCGGGTCAGCTCTCCAGCCATCCCCTCAGCTTCCCCGTAAGGGAGCATTGCTCCTTGTCAGGACTCCACAGAGCCTTTTGGGAAACAAGTTAACCTAAGGAGAAACAGAGCGGCCCTGAGGGTACCCTGGTCATGGACACTGATCACTGTCCCTGATTGTCCCCATTCCTTAATCTCCTTCAACTCACTGGCCAGGCGCTCTCTCTCCACTTACCCATCTCCCCGCCACACCTCTGCACTGATTTACTCTGTAATCCCAGGTGGATGTGTCGTTGCTCTTCTCAAGTCACAAAAACCTCTGTTAACAGTCAGTGTTAGCAGACACCTCCCACCCCACCCACCTTCCCCGGGGTGACAGGGCACGGGACGCCACTCTAGTGGCCTTGGGAACCCTTGGCTGGCTGCATCGAGGCTCGCGGGAGTGAAGGGCCTGTGCCGTGCAGGCCCGTCCCATCTGGGCGCAGTCTCCAGCTCACTTCCCACAGCAGGACCCATCCTGAAGGAAATGCTTTCACAAAGCGAAGCTCACAGTATTCTTTGCTTTGTCCTTGGCGCCCAGAGCCCTCGAAGGCCTCTGTTGTAAGGGCTGGTGAAGGTTAGAACTGCAAAAGCCGCTATGAAAACCAAAGATCGGACAGCATTGAAGTTGAGGTGCATGAGAGCAGGAAAAGGAGACTCAGTCGACCAAAGAAGAACCAAAGACCCTTGGCAACCAGTGTGCTTATCGCGGGGCTCTGTCGCGGGACCCCACTTCGGCGCTGTCCCTCTGGGAGCGCTCAGGACCAGCCTCCCCCTGGCCCCCTTGGGAAAGCTTGTCCTTTTGTCCTTCCTCCTCCGGAGGCCTTTTCTGGTGAGAGACGCCCAACGGTGTGGGCGTCAGCTCCTCCTGCTCTGCTCAGGCCTCCAGGAGGCTGGGAGAGGAATCAGCCTCCAGACCGGGCAGTGCCTCCCACGCGAATTCTGGGGCTGTCTGCTCTGTGGGCTCCTCTTACTGGCCTGCCCACCTTTTCTTTCTACCCCAATTTCTTTATCTAGTAATTTAAACATGTTAACGCTGTGGGTACATTCTGTGGACAGCCTCAGCTCCATCCTCAGACCCGTTTCCTGTTCTCTGCTACAAGATGACTGAGGTGTGGGCAGCCATGTCCCTCCACTGCCCACTGCTCCCCCGCGACTCGGGGCTGAGTCTGACCGAGAGTCACCTCTGCTTCTACGTGTCGGTAGCCTGAGGCCCATGAGAGTGGCATCCCCGGGGCAGCTGCCTTGTCCCGGGCTCGGGCCAGCGTTCGTCACGTCCCCAGGAGGCTGACTGTGCCCTCGGTGCCCGCAGGTGGTGTACTTCACGGCATCGCTGCCCTACTGTGTGCTCATCATCTACCTGATCAGGGGCCTCACGCTCCACGGAGCCACCAACGGCCTGCTGTACATGTTCACCCCTAAGGTACGGGGGGAGGGGGCAGCCCCGGGGGCACCTGTTCATCCACCATCTTGTTTCCAGAATGGGTGGGAAGAGGGGAAGAAGGAGGCCGGGTGGACACCATAGTGTAGTGGGTGGGGGGGGGGGGTGTGACCGCTTGGCTTTGGGAGGGGTGTGGGCTACCTGTGATACTGAGTCACCCCCTCAGACAAGCAGTCCCCACATTAACCCCTTGTCCTCCACACCACTGTCCGCTGCCCCAACCCCACACGCAGGCTCAGACCCCAGTCTCACTAGGAGCCCCGCCGGACTGTAGCTCTGCCCCAGCCATCTTACCCGCCTGCTCACGGGACTGCCTTTGAGACATAACAAGTTCATTTAGCAAATCTGGTGCCTGGAAACAGAATGAGGAGGCAGCTCCTGCTCAAATGGCCTCTCCCCACACATGCATTCAAAGTATCTCCTAATGCCAGGCCTGGACCGCCTCTACCAGGCATGCCCCCATCTCCGGGGCCCAGACCCTCTAAAGTGCCTGGGTCTGGGTCTGGCTCAGGACCTCCATCACTCTGAATCATCTGCCCTACTTTGCACAGCTTCTGTGGGTGAGCAGCAGCGGAAGGTGACACAAGGGGGGGGGATGTTTTTCATCTGCTGAGAGTGGACATGCCCCAGGGGCTTCTGTCCAGCTGAGTGCCACAGGCTGCTTGCCCACCTGGGGCTCCCGCCCCCTGCTGGCCTGTGAGCTTACAACGCCCTCCCCACTGGCTTTCCAGATGGAGCAGCTGGCCAACCCCAAGGCCTGGATCAATGCCGCCACCCAGATCTTCTTCTCCCTCGGCCTGGGCTTTGGCAGCCTGATCGCCTTTGCCAGCTACAACGAGCCCTCTAACAACTGCCAGAAGCACGCTGTCATCGTGTCCCTCATCAACAGCTCCACCTCCATATTCGCCAGCATCGTGACCTTCTCCATCTATGGCTTCAAGGCCACCTTCAACTATGAAAGTTGCTTGAACAAGTAAGACAGGGTAGCCCCGGGGAGCCTCTGCCTCAAGTTGGGAGGTGACACCCCAAAGCTCTGAGCTAAGGGAGGGGGAGGCTGGGAAGTCAGAGGTGTGGGTCAGAGAGTGCCTGGTTCACAGCCCTCGATGCAGGGTTCAGTCCAGCTCCCTGCCTTCACCATCAGCAGGTGGCCTAGTGGCCGGTCAGCGCCTGACAGAAGGGACAGAGGCAACTCAGGGTCTCCAAAGCACCCAGCACAAAAGCCCCTAGATTCTTCTGCCCCACCTCCCCCACCTCAGCAGTTTCAAACGCTCCTGAACTGAGCCATGGGGATCACCGATCTACTTTCTGAGAGCCCTTACCCAAAATACAAGGATACCTCCAGGAGGTCAGCTGTCCAGTGCGCCAGTCACTGGCCCTAAGGGGCTATTTACAAATTTAAATCTAGATTGATTTAAATGAATATAAATCCTAATGTAATCTTACTGAAATAAAGGCACTTAGCTTCCAGTGGATTGAAGTTGCTTCCTCTCTGTGCTAACCGCAGTCAAGTATCCGTTGCCGCAAATGTCAGGGGGGGACCACAGTGGACAGCACAGCTGTAGAACCTTTCATTTCCTTTCACAGGAAGTTCTGTGGGACAGTGCCGGCCCAGAGGTTAAAACAGCAGAGGTGTGTGGGTTTCTTGTGTTGCATATTTGAGGCTACTTTGAAGCCACTCGGAATCAGCCTGCCTGGTGGAAGGTCACCAGCCAGCAGAGACCCTTTCCTGGACAACGTCACCTGGTCAGGAAAGAGGAGAGACAGCTGGGCCCGGAGGTTGGGCAGCCCAGCCTTTTAAGCACTGATGTTCTGCTCTGCAGGGTGATCTTGCTGCTGACCAACGCCTTTGACCTTGAAGATGGCTTTTTGACGACCAGCAACCTGGAGCAGGTGAAGGACTACTTAGCGTCTGCCTTCCCCGACAAATACGGCGAGGTGTTCCCACAAATCAAAAACTGCAGCTTAGAAGCTGAGCTGGACACGGTAAGGCCCAGTGAGGTTGGGTTTGCTCTTCCCCATCGCGTCACAAGGGCCTCTGAGAGTCGTGAACCCCACCCCCAACCCTAGTGATGGTCAAGTTCCCCTGGGTTCTCTGTGACTTTTCTTTTCCTCTTCTCATTTTAAGACTTAAAAATATAGGAAATTGCAAAGAATGCTGTAACAAACACCCATATATATCCACCACTAAGAACAAACTGTTATAAACACTATTTTGTAGCTATTAGAAATGATGGTTTTTTTTCTATTTTTATCATTTAAATTTTTGTTACAGGAGAAAGCTAATGGCTTCTTGTATGCTGATCTTGTTTCTAGCAACCCTGCAAAAGTCTTTTTTTCTTTTCTCTCTTTTTTTTTTTAAAGATTTATTTATCCATGCATACAGACAAGCCAGAGGTGCAGGGGTTGAGAGGATTCACCAGAGACAGAGCAGGGAGCAGAACAGCCAGATGTACTGAAATACACTGCTGAGGGTAACAGCAGGCAGGTCAGGAAAGTTCTGCCATGCCATGTGGGTCATCTCCATGACTGGGGGTCAAACTCATGCAGCAGTGGCTCCAGGAGCTTCATAGTGCTGTGCTCCAACCTGTTGTGCCCCCAGGGAGAGCCCAAAAGTCCCTTTTTCATTCCCATATTGGTGTAGGTATTTTCTTATGTCTTCTAGGTAAATTCTTAGATCACCTGCAGATATAATTCTGCATTTTTATTTTCAATCCTTATATCTCATTTCCTTTTGCTTACTGCATTTTCTAGGATTTCTAACACAGTGCAAATAGAAGAGAGGGTGGGTACAGCTGTCTAATTCCTTTTTTTTTTTAAGATTTATTTATTTATGCAGAACTGGGGTACAAGCCAGAAGTGCAGGTAAGAGGATTTACCAGAGAGCAGTGGGGAGCAGAACAGGCAGATCAACAAAGTACACTGCTGAGGGGAGCAGCAGGCGAGACAGGAGAGGTCTGCTGCGCCCTGGGGGTCAACTCTCTGGCCAGGGATCGGACTCGTGCTGAAGCCGCGGCGGCTAGCTTCCTGGTGCTGCGTTTTAACCAATTGCACCTCCAGGAAGAGCCCATAGCCGCCGACTTCTTATATTTAATGTCATTACATCTAGAGTGTCTCTAGAGAATATTCTTCACGAAGAGGGACTCGTGAGGTCCATAGCTCTGCTTACTGGCAGGCTACCTGGGCGGGCTTATCACTTTGTTCCACGGTGAAGGCATTCCGGGTCATTGCCCGGATGAAGCCACAGCCTTCCTCCTGACTCATTACTTACACAGGCCCATAACAGGGCCTTCCCCTCACCGACCCGCTCTCCCATCAGCCCCAGCCCCAGCCCCAGCCTGCACTGCCCTATTTCTGTTTGGCCTCTTGGCTCCCACTGATCTTCTCATTTCGAATATTCTTTCTGTTTTGGGCCTCTGGGACTCCTCGTTTACTTTTAAGCTTAGTTCAACGTCCACAAATTATGTGGTTATTGATTTATATCGACTTCTCTACCCTGTTGTGTTTGTTCTCCTTCTGCGCTCCGCCGTTTCCCTTTATTCTCTCCTGCTGGAATGTTTATTCTCCGTGTCTCTTCTTGAACTTTCTCATGCATATTGAACTCTACACAGTCAGAAGTTAAACAGTATCTAGTCTCCTCCCAAACAGGATAAGGACTTTAGAACACTTTCATCTCATCCCTTCTACTTTATTTGAAATACTGTTCTTGTCCAGCCCCGCCTTTAAAACCCATAAACTGGATGCCATTGTGCATTTACACAGAGCATTGCCTTGGCCTACATGTTTGTATTTTATTTATTCACCTTTCCCTCTTGTATTCCAGCTGCCCATTGGGGTTCCCCCCCCCTTAAAGTTTATTATTATTATTATAGCAGTTTTTTTATGATAAATTCTCTCAGGTTTTGTCTGTAGATAAATGTCTATGATCCTCGTATTTTAAAGACAATATTCTCCCCGAGTAGACAATTCCAGCTTGGCAGTATCTTCTCTCATCACCTCAAAGCATTTCACCTGTGGATCTGGCGCCCTCTCTGGCTGCTGAATGTTCTTTGGTTCCAGAACTTCCCTGGTTCTTTCCATTTCTCCTATGATCTTCCCTTTGGCTTTGACTTCTACGTCTAAGGATGTTATTTGTCAATTCTAGGCATGGGTGAGCCACCTCCCTGGCTCTGGGGATCCATGTAATATTCTTATCTTCCAGTTTACCTCTTCTCTCCCTTTTCCCCTTTTGGAATTTCATGTGGATGCGCCTAGACCTTCTTGTCCTACCTGGCCTGTTCCTACCTGCACTGATTTCTCCTTAACATTCCCTCATCTTCTTAACTGCTCTTTCCCTGCCTTATGGATTCATCCCTGACATGTCTCAAAAATGCTCTCCACCCTATTGCTGGAGTTGTCAATGGAGAATCTTACACACTTTTTTATTTTTAATTTGCCATTCTTTATATGTGTTTCTTGTTAAACACTTAATACCTGCTCTTCAGCTCGCGAATACCTGCTCTTCAGCTCGCGTCTCCAAACTGCCACTCATAGCTGCCCCCTGCTGGCCACAAAGGGGAGTGTACCCCAGGGGAGTGTTGTCTCATCACTGACATATAGATCTTTCCACTGATGATAATAATAGGAAGCAGATCAATACTAGCAGGTTTTATACTTTTGAATTCTGTACAAGTTATCACTCCCTCGTGATTGCCCAATGGAGCTGATACCCCACCTTCCCCAGAGAGGAGACACCCCAGCACGCTGGAGAAGGTGTGCCAAACCTCATGTCTGATTCTGGTGACTCCCACTACGAGTGGCTGGTCTCATGTGGGTGTCCAATCTCTGTTTGCACGTGCCCTGCGTGATCGCCTCTGTCCTGAGAGTCTAGATTGGTGGGGCTTTCCCCCAAGAGTGTTTACTTCTTCTTCCTGCCGACACTCCCGCCCCAGCACCCCTTGGGCACCCTCAGGGGATTTGTGTTTAAGCAGGTGTTCCAAGGTCCAGTTCCACGGTTCAGTAGCCCCACAGTGCCGCTCTGGCCACCGAGCAGCACTGCTCGGCTGTTCCTGCTGGCACGGCCGCTCCCACACTCCCGGCAGCCGCTCTGGCTCGCTGCCCACCGCTGCTCCCAGCCTCAGAACACCCAGCCCGTGAAATATTGGAAGCAGAAGTTACCCGAGCATGCTTTCTTTTATTTCACCCAGGATTTAAGTGAGTTGTGGCAAGAAAGGAGAACTCAACGTTCTGAAGGGACTGGAACGTCTCTGGACCAATATAGCAGATACGGGCTCCTCACACCTCTCCCTTCTCTCTAGCCCAGGGGTGGGGGGCGGTAGACGGGCTCCACCCTCACTTCCGCATGATGTGGCTTCTTGTGGCTGCATTCATGGTGCCCCGAGGTGCCTAGTTTCAGGTGCCCCAAACCCCTTGGGTGTGTAACAGTGTGTCCTTGCTGCGGGCAGGCAGTCCAGGGCACCGGCCTGGCCTTCATCGTCTACACCGAGGCCATTAAGAACATGGAGGTGTCCCAGCTGTGGTCTGTGCTCTACTTCTTCATGCTGCTGATGCTGGGCATTGGGAGCATGCTGGGGAACACGGCAGCCATCCTCACCCCGCTGACCGACAGCAAGGTCATCTCCAGACACCTGCCCAAGGAGGCCATCTCAGGTGCGTGGCCAGTAGGAAGGAGGCAGGGCGGCGGTGGGGGAGGCAGCTGCCCGCCTTGCCATGTGCTTGTGGAGAGGCCACAGTCCTGCCATGCTCTCTTCATCTTGGGCCATCGGGGGCCCAGTGCGTGTGACTCACCTCTCAAGTCTGGCTCACTACATGAAGGAGAAATGACGGGGCCACGCGCTCCTTGGAAAAGACCACTCAGAGCTCCCCAGGCTGGGAGACATACTACCTTTGCCTCTGTTTTCATGGAGGCAACACAATAATGATATTTCAGATTCAGTGAATCTTATATACATATTCACCCAAGTAAACACCACAGGGTTAAGACACAAAACAAATCCCCCTACCTCAAGGATCCCCTTCCCAATCAGTGCACCCCAACTCCTAGAAGTCTACTCTGATGGGCTGTTTTAAAGAGCAGAGCCATAACAGAAAAGGGGGCGCCTCACCCGCATCCCAGGCACTTCTGCTGCTGGCTGCCCAGAAGGCCTGCTCCAGGTGTGCCTGGCCAAGTTGCATCCTGTTCCCCTAAAGATACACCAGCCCTTGAGAGTCTCGAAACTAAGATGAGAACCAGGAACTTGAAAAGCTGTTTAAAGGGAAAATGATCGAAAAGCAACAGGGCGAGAGAGAGCCCCAGGAAGACCTCCTGAAACAGAGCCCCGAGCTGCCGGGGCAAGGGGCCTGGGTGGCTGCAGGCTGGGGTTTGAGAACAGGGAATCGAATGTTACTGGCGGGGAAAGCAAGGTGCATGGACGTGGCTGAAGTCCCATGGTCTATCTGGGTGTGGTCCATCTTGGAGCTAGGCGGGAGCCCCCTCCCCTGCAGTTCAGTGGGGTGCGGGCTCGTGACCATCTGGAGGGGGATGTCTCATGGAGTCTGTGTACCCGCAGCTCTGCTTGGACCTGGTTTGGTCTCAGGCCTGTGAAGAGATAGCCCAGGAACGCAGAGACTAGAGTAAAATTAGTAAAACAAACAAAGCTAAAAAATAAAAATCATGATGGGCCAAGGAAATGCATGGCCACAGGTGCCCGGCTGGAGTGGTCACATGTCTCTAACCGTCTGTTCACCAGCCTGGCGGAGACATGGGGGCGGCAGCGTCTGGCCTGCCCAGGAGCTTCTGCTTCAGGCTGTCTGGGATCTTGGCGAGCTTCCTCTGCATGACCCCCGCAGGAGATGCTCTTTCTGTGGTCTCTTCACTCACTGTCTGCGAGACCACACAGGCTGCTGCCCTTAGCGTGGCTCCTGCCTGGGGCCACCACAGGTGTGACCACACCCCACGATACCGATCCGCTCTGCTGGTAGTGGGCGTTTGGGCATTCGGGAGGGACCCTGCTTTTGCCGTCCTCCCGCTCCCTGTTCCGCTCCACGCTCCTGCTCCACCCCGGCCCGCAGTGTGCAGGGCACCCTGCAGCACCCAGCCCTGGCTCTGCCGAACCCCTCCTCCACACCCAGGATGTCCCCCAGCCCCGGCCCATGACCTCGATGTCCTGTCCACCCAGCTGGAGCCGCCCACCCTCCGCCAGAGCGCTCTGACACTGGTCTCGCTGCTAGCACTGGAGTGGGGTCAGCATCACGTGAGCCTCCGGCTGCCCAGCCAGCTCTTGACCAGTGGGGCTCAGCAGCTGGTGGTGTGTAGGGTGGCCAGGAAGGGACAGGAGGGAACTTAGAGTCAAATACGCTTTATGGGGTCCCCAAGGGAGGCAGTGGTTGGAGGAGGGAACAGGAACCCAGGTTCTGGAGGATAAGGGGCAAAGCAGTGGTGCCATGAGCGTCCCTCCTCTCTGCTCTGAGCATCTCCATCTGTGCAAGCGGCCCCTGATGCTTTTCTCATGGGCCTAAGGCCGCGCTGCCCCTGGTAGTGGGAGCTGGATCAACACTGGTCCCTTCGCCCTCCCTTCCTCACCCCTGCTCAGACACAGCCCCCTCTTTGGGAATTCCTGCAGATCAAGTCTTTCCCCCCAGTGCTCCTCCTAGGGCCTCAGGGACTGGGTTGCTGGACAGCCCCGCCTCCTGGGTGAGACTGACCGCGTGGCCACGGCGGGCCAGCTCCCGTGGAGTCTGCCGCTCCCTGCCGGGCGGCTCCGGAATTAACCTCCATGACCCCTTGGGACAGCGCGCACTGACCCTCTTCCAGGCCCGCGCCAGAGTCCCGGGGGTGGGGGGGGGGGGTAGGGGCTTGCTGCTCCCGGCAAGCTAGATGAACGGGAGGAGGTCTCGGGCGGTGACAGCTGGTCTTGTGCCCCAGGTCTGGTGTGCCTCATCAACTGTGCCATCGGGATGGTGTTCACCATGGAGGCCGGGAACTACTGGTTCGACATCTTCAACGACTACGCGGCCACGCTGTCCTTGCTGCTCATCGTCCTGGTGGAGACGGTCGCCGTGTGCTACGTGTACGGGCTGCGGAGGTGAGGAGGCCGCGCTTGAGCCGCGCCAAGCCTGGAGGCGGCCCCCACGGGGGCAAGGGACTCCCCAGCGCACCTCCTTTTTCCTGCAGGCCTGGCGGTGTCCCAGGGCTCTCCTTCGCGCATGCCCACCTCACTTCCTGTAACCATCTCGTCTCTATTTCCTGTAGTCTCACTTTTTTAAAGATTTATTTATTTATGCTACAGAACTGGGGTACAGGCCAGAGGTGCAGGGGCGGTGAGAGGACTCACCAGAGACAGTGGGCAGCAGAACAGGCCAACTGATGAAGTACACTGCTGAGGGGAGCAGCGGGCGGGTCAGGAGAGGTCTGCCAGCCATGTGGTCACCTCCGGGGCTGGGGATTGAACTCATGCTGAAGTAGCTTTAGCTGCTTAGTGCTGTGCTTAAGCCTGCTGCGCCACCAGGGAGGGCCCCCTATATTCTCACTTTTTAATATAGGTCATTTGCCTGTTGAGCCTGCCGGACCCCAGTGGTTTCCAGGGACAGGGGCTTATGCCTCCAGGCACAGACACGGGTCATCAGCCACAGCAGAATTTTCGCGAACACAAGCCCAGTTGATAACTCACCTGCAGGTGGTCCCGGTGGTGGTGTATGTGGCTGGGCCGAGAACTGCTGGCCTAGCACTTCTGACCTTGAGGCTGCAGAGCAGTTAGCTGGGGGCTGGTCACTGCAGACAGTGACCACTGGGCCTTTGGGACAGATGGGGCCCACCAGCTGCGGTTGAGACTAGAGGCCATGCTCGGGGATGTAGCCGCTGGGCCCTGTCCTGAGACCCTGCCTGTCAAGCTGCCGTGGTCCTGGTCCCCCTTCTCTGCCCCAGTCTTTTCTGCTCCCCCAGACTGGTTTGAAGGTGGGGCAAGGAGCCCAAATGAAACCCCAGAGGGAGGCCCTTTGGCTCTACCCCTGTGTCCCTGGAGATAGGGAATCCCCTGCCACGCTGGGGGGTTTTCATGATCAAATCAGTCTAGGACAGAAGATGATAAACAAAGCTAAAATCTGACTCCCGTAGGACTTCCCAGAGCCTCGGTGACAACTGTGAATGTCAAAGAGGTTATCGTTTGCAGCATTTCCAAACTCTGGGGGGCTAAGAACTGGGCTCACCCTCCCCTGCCCCACCCCATACACGTTCACAGCAGCTGATGTTGTGAGGATGACTGGTGGGTAAGAGGAGTGGCCAGTGCCACGTTTCCCCCAACAGGGGTTTTCCTGGTGTGTGTGACTGCCAGTGCTGCTCTGGGAGAAGCCCTGTGTGGACAGGGCAAGTGGGTCAGAGGACATGCCGGTCCTGAGGGAGGGGTTGGTCACCTGAGAGGTATGCACCAGGAGAGGGAAGGCTGGAGAGAAAGGAGCAGCCCTGAGGGCCCACTGGAGTTGCTTGGAGAGGGGCCCAGTATACCCCAAGGGGTGGTGGTCAGTGACAGGGGTGGAGAAAGAGACAAAAGGGGCCCAGAGCTTTGTGAGCCCCATGAGGCCCCAGCTGCCTGGGAAGCCCTTCTGCCGACGTGGGGGACAGCGCCACCTAGTGGCCCCCGGCAGTGGTGCCAGCCTTTTTTCTGCAGGACTTACCCCCCCTTTTCCATCCTGGGCAACCCGGGACAGTGGATGAAAGGCCAAGTAAACCCCAATATTTTCTGAGAATCCAAATGTGTTCACATTTTTTTCCTCAATTTTAAAAAAGTATTTATTTATATATACAGAACTGGGGTACAGGCCAGAGGTGCAGGGATGGTGAGAGGATTCACCAGAGACAGAGTAGGGAGCAGAACAGGCTGACTGACAAAGTACACTGCTGAGGGGAGCAGCAGGCAGGTCAGGAGAGGTCTGCCGCGCCATGTGGGTCACTCCTGGGGCAGGGATCGAACTCACACTGGGGCTGCGGCTGCTAGCTTGCAGTGCTGCCTTTTAGCCTGTTGCGCCACCAGCGAGGGCCCGCAAGTGTTCGTGTTATGCAGTTGAGTCTTTGAGACTTCAGGCCTAGAATCTTGCTAGCTGAGCGGCCACACAGGGGCAGGGAGTGTCCATCTTATGTGGGCACCTAGGACATTCCATAGGTCCACGCCAGGCACAGGGCTGTGCTACAGCTGGCGACAGTCAGACCCACCTGCCCTCCAGGGCTGCCGCTCCCATCATGGGGAGCAGTTTAAAGAGCCCTGGACCGGAGGTAAGCTGGACACTAGTCCAGATTCTAGGCTGCAGTCAGCACTCCCTGCCTAGGTCTCCTCAGCATCACCGCCCAGCCCCAGGCTTCAGGCCCATCCTGAGGAGTGGGAGATGGCAGGACTAGCTTTTCCAAGGTGCTGAGGAGGCCCCCCACCCTTATTTGCGAGTGTATTAGAAATGCTGATTAGTCTCTCAACTCCTTGATAAAAAAGCGGTGTTGTTGTTGAATTTAGTCAGCATCAATTTAAAGAGCCTGCAGCCACAACCGAAGTCATCATGGGGATCTTCAGGCAGCTGCGTCTGGAAGCCTTGTGCTGGCCTCGCTCCAAGCCAGCCCCAGTGGGGCATACCGGCTGCTTTCTGTCCCCGGCTGGGCTCACCGTGTCCCAGAAAACCTGCTCTCATTTCCAGGGACAGAGAGTTTTGTCTCAGGCACTTTGCAATAGGCAGTAGAGCTGCTATAGACAGCGGGGTGGGAAAGGTGAGCCAGCTGTCCTGGGGTCCCTGGCGTGAGCCTGGCTGGCCACGTGTTTCCCGCACTCTCCCGGCAGGCCGGATGCAGCCTACACATCTGCATGGGCAGCCTCCTCCTGCAGGCCGGCGGGGTAGCTGCCACTGACACCCACCTCCTGTGCACAGGGGTGGGTGCTTGCTGGGCTGCCCTCTGCACTGGCCTCGGCCTTCTCCCCTTTCCCACCCCATGCCTCTTTTCCAGAAGAGTCTGAGAGGGGTCAGGAGGGCCTAGACAGTCTTCCTAAGCTAACAGGATATGCAAACTGGCCCACCGCACCCCAACAGCACGGCTCACCCAAACCTTCTCTCCCTGCTGTCCAACTAGATTTGAAAGCGACCTCAGGGCCATGACCGGCCGCACTCTGAACTGGTACTGGAAGGTCATGTGGGCTGGCGTGAGCCCACTGCTCATCATCAGCCTCTTCATCTTCTACCTGAGTGACTACATCCTCACGGGAACCCTGCAGTACCAAGCCTGGGACTCCACCCAGGTATCTCTCTCCTGGGGCCCCAAGGTCACTGGGGTGCAGACCCTCAGTTTTACCCCTTCCATGGCATGAGTGGGTGATGCACCGCAGCATGGAAACATCCTTCAGGTGTCAGAGCTGGGCTGAGTTTTCAAGCATGCGTGAAGTGAAGAGAATGAGGCCTCTCCAGAACTTGCCAGAGGGCAGAAGTGGGCTAGAAGCTGGGGGAAAGCCTCCCTGCAAAGCCATTGGTGCCTTCCTCTTGAGCTGCACACATCTCAGTAGCCCCTGAGCTTAGGAAAGGCTGAGAGTGCAAGCCTGAGGGCCTGTTCCTGGCCCCTGACCCTGGGGGCCCAGTGGAGTAGAATGGTGGAGAGGCCCTGGGCTGCGGCACCAGTTAACACTGGAGCTGCTGGGTCCTCGGAGGCGCTGGCTGTGGAGGTAGCTTCCCTGGGATGGGCTCGCTTAGGCCCCTGGCTGTGCACCAGCCAGAAAGGCAGCATGTTCATATTTTACTGACCAGGACCACTGTATCATGCATTTGACCCGGGGGTCCATCCTGGCTTAATTTTCATGAAAAGTAATCCTGCTGACTACCTATACACCCTTTCCTGTGGGTAGAAGATGCTGACCTCTAGCTGCAGTGTGTGGGGTGAGGAGTATGCAGTGAGGGTGTGAAGACCCCAAGGCTCCAGCTCACACCACTCCAGCGCCTGGGCCAGCACTCAGAAGGCTGCACTCGGTTCTCTCTGCTGACTCTCGGCTTCTCCTCTTAGGGCCAGCTTGTGACCAAGGATTACCCTCCCTATGCGCTGGCTGTCATCGGGCTGCTGGTGGCCTCCTCCACCGTGTGCATCCCCCTGGTAGCCTTGGGGACCTTCATCACACGCCGTCTCAAGAGGGGAGACACAGCCCCCGTGGCCTGAGCACTGGGCTTTCCAGAGACTGCAGTCAGCTGCTCACGGTTTTACAGCTCTTATTGCAGGTGGAAACTCCTCAGCTGCTTTTGAAAACACTCACTCCAGAAGTCCCCTATTGCCATCTTCCTGAGCCTAGAAAGAAGTAGGAGGCGTGGAGGAGGAGGACTCCCTGGAAAAACACATGCCCCGCTCACAAAGTGCCCCCTTCTCCCCTCACCTCCCCCCAAGTTTGCACCGAGCTGCTTCCTCTGGACTGAAGAGGCTGGTTTTTCAAAGACAGTCTTGAAGACAGTTGTTTCTTATTTCTAGAAAGCCCTGGAATTAGGGCACACTGTGAGCTGACATGTGACTAATTTTTCATGGAATATAAACAATTTTCCCCCCAAAGTGATCCCAAGTATTGCAAGGGCAGCCATCTTTAGATTGGCTGGAAAATCGTTTTTCAAGTGCCTGTGATAACATATTAGAACGTCATGGGTGTGAAATGAGTTTTTCTCATTTAATCAGTGAATCTGCAGTTGCTACCTTCTTTGCTGATAGGGTTGGCCCTAGAAAAAGAGGGTTTTTTTTGGGGGGGGCCCACCATGGGGATCATTTTCCTAGTAGTCTCTCACGGCAGGTCCCTGGCCAATCCTCTGTACAAGAATCACTCTTACCACAGTTGCAGACCCAAAGCTCCTCTGTGGGGTTCCCTGAAGGGTCAGAGCAGACAGCCCCACCCACACAGCCCAGTGTTTTGGGGAAAGTTCTGGAAGTGACTGTGAGGATGAGCGTGAGCTAACATTCCCATAGGCTTAGTAACATTTGGACTTGATGGTCGACTCCTTATAGGAAAGACCACAAACGTCACATAGATCAATGTTAAGTTATTTATCTGTACAGAAGTTTTCTAAAATGTATATAATTCAAATGGAGCATCTTGTAACTGAAGACACCCATATTTATGACATAGCATTAGTCCACCATGCACGTCTCCTGTCTTTTTTTTAACTGCATTTAATAGAGTATGTAAGGGCCCCTAAAACGACAGGGGCCTTTCTCGTGCTGACATTCTGTGCTTTGAGAAATGAAATTCAAGAAATTTCCTTTGGGTAGATTTGCAAGGGCATCTTTGCAGACACAAACATTCAGCTGGAGCGAGCTCTTTGCTTTTTATTTATGTTATACATGTCCTTAAAGCAAAAGTAGACACTAGAAAGGGCATCTGTTGGCTTGAACTGCCACTTGTCGCTACTTCCAGCTTCAATTGGTGGCCAGTGATGAGAAGGGCCTTTGCCTCTAAGATGCTTGAGCATTTCCTCATCACAAGTAGTCCCCGGGCTTCTCATCAGAGGGTTCTTTGATGAAAACTCCCAGAGAGCGAGGTGTGGAGAGCGGGAATGCTCAGCAGCAAATTCAGAGTAGAGCCTGTTCTGGAATCGTGAGGGATCAACCGTCAGGCCTGGTTGCCATCTTGACTGAAGGGGCTGCCCCTCCTAGGGGTGGTCATCCGCTAAGGCCCCTCAGGAGCAAAAAGACACGTCCCAGATGACCGCTTCAGGCATGCGCATTCCCGTGCCCGCCCCCTCGCTGCACGCTTGAGCCATCTGGGTGCGTTTCAAATTTCCAGTGCCCAGGCCACACTCAGAACCAACCAAATCTAAGAATTGTCCATTTAGGAATATTTGAATCCCGAAGGGCCCTCAAAATTTCAAAAGCAGGTTTGAACATGTCCAATCACATGGGAAAAACACTTCGTTGGAATAATTTTTGCTCGTGAGTCAGCCAGATGAAGCGCCTCTACTGCAGGATAATGCGCTCCAGATGAGCGCTTTGAGTTTCAGTTTTGCTCTGGTTTCTGTGTATTTCATGAAGAGCAGAACATTTCTCAAGAAGCCACTTGAGCCATTAAGTCCAGTAATAACATTCTAAGAACTTTAGAGCAGTCAAAAATTCTTTGTTGACCTATTTTCTAGGCCATCTCAACATTATTTGTCCACCCTCCCTCCAAGGAGCTGGAGAGGAAAAGGGACATTCCATCCGTGTCCACTTAACAGTCCCCCGTGACATTTTTTAAATAGATTTATTTACTTATGCATACAAGAACTGGGGTGTAGGCCAGCGGTGCAGGGAGTGAGGGGATTCCCCAGAGACAGAGCCGGGAGCAGAACAGGCAGCTGCACTGAAATACACAGCTGAGCATGGCTGAGGGGAGTCCGTGGGCAGGTCAGGGGAGGTCTGCCATGCTATGTGGCTCAGCTCCCTGGTGGGGGAATTGAACTCAAGCTGCAGTGGCTGGTGATAGCTTCACAGTCCTGAGACTAACCCCTGTGCCACCTGGGAGACCCCAGCCCCAGTGATATTATAGCTGGATCATGGACTCCATCTACAAAGCTTCCTGTTCATACTAAGACATGACCCTTGATTTAGGGCTAAGAAACCAGGCAGGGGATTATTTTTTTTAGCAGTTGTTACAGTTAAAATCCTTAATATGTTGCCAGTCACTAGCTACATACAGTTTTAAGGCCTCTCTTTTAGCACAAAATTTCCCCGATTCCTGCATCACTCTGAGTCATGCCTTGGGATTGTTCTCTCCTTGACGTGGCAGTCGATTTCCAGGCTGGCCCCCAAAGATCCCCACCTCCCGAGAGTCTCTCCCTGGACTGCCCTCCACCTAAGGATCCGCCCTTAAAGCCTAGACCGCAAGGGAAGTGATGAGTTCTGAGATCAGGTTACTACTTGCTGGTTTTGATGACCCATTGCTGCCACATTGTAGAGGCCCGTGGCAGAGGTGACCTTCAGCCTCCAGCCAGGAAGATGCTGGACTCAGCTGAGAGACCAGTGAGGAACTGGGTCAGGCCAAGAAACCCTAAAGGAACTTCAAAGTGGATCCTGCTCAGCTGAACACGGACTGGAGTTTTATAGAAGAGCCTGAAGCACAGGACAAGGTTATACCATGTCCACCTTCCTGACACACAGGAACTGTGAGATCATAAATACCAGTTGTCTTAAGGTAACGTTTTAGGGCAATGTGTTACATGGCGTTAGAAATACCCAGACTGGCCCTCCCTGGTGGCGCAGCGGGTTAAAGCACTGCACTGAGAAACTAAAGCCACTTCCTCATGAGTTCGATTCCCGCCTGCCCCAGAGGTGACCACATGGCGTGGCAGACCTCTCCTGACCCGCCCGCTGCTCCCCTCAGCAGTGTACTTGTCGATCTGCCTGTTCTGCTCCCCGCTCTGTGTGTGGTGAATCCTCTCACCCTCCGCATCTCTGGCCTGTACCCCAGTTCTGTATGAATAAATAAATAAATCTTTAAAAAAAAAAAAAAAAAAGAAATACCCAGACTAAGGTCATTCAGAGCTAGTATGTCACTGGTGTTCCCTGTAGTCTGTCCCCTTTGAGGGGCACAGTGGACCTCCAATAAATTCTCAATTACTAAATTGTTCTCAGATTACTTCACTTCTGAGACAAAGCTGGAAAAGGGAATACTGGCAAAGTCCTGTTTTGTTACATTTTTTGAGATGACGTTGGTTGACATTGCTGTCTTAGGTAGAGTTACACGTCTACCTACGTATGTTATTACACCACACCCACCAGCAGGCCCCCTCCTCCCTGTTCCCACACACTGCACCCAGCTTCTGGTAGTCTTAGTCACAGTCCAATGTGCCCTTGACCCCTGTTTTCATCCCTCCTCCTACCCCCTCCCATATGCCTCAGATCTATGGTCAGTTTTCAAGGTTTGTCTTTGGCTTTTTGTTTTCTCTATTTTTCACATATAAGTGAAACCAGCTGGTATTTTCTCATGACTTAATTTGCTTAGCTTAACTCCTTCTGGCTCCATCCATGCTGCCACAAATGACATTAACTTCTCTTTTGATTGCTGAGTGGTAATCCACTGAGTCCTCTCGACCCACTCACCTGTTCTGGGACATACAGGTGTCCGTATCTTGGCTGCAGTAAACACGCAGGTCTCCTTTTGAATTAGTGTTTGGGTGGATTTCTGGGAACGGAATTTCTGGGTCATCTGGTAGATCCATTTTTTGTGTGTTTTGAGAAAGCCCACACAGCTTTCCACAGTGGCCGGACCAGTCTCCACTCTGACCAACAGTTAAGAAGGTTCCTTTCAGCATCCAGCGCAGCCTCTCTAGCACTTCTTGTTTCAGGCCATTCTCATGGTGTGAGGTGGTATCTCACTGTGATTTTGATCTGCAAGGGACGTAATACTTAGAAGATTGAAGATAAATTGTTTTCACTAGGATAATTTCCTGTCATCAGTTTAAATAAATCCCAAGTTCATATTAACAGTCTACCAGTTCACTCAACTTTACAGTCTCCAAACTGTTAGCAAAATAAACACTTTCCTGAGGGGCACCAGAATAGCTAAGACCAGGTTATGTTCTAGTCGAGAGTATTTCCACGAGAGCCTAGAAACGTACATACTACCTGCAGTACGTCTCCCAGATGCATCTCCAAAGGAGTCTGCCGCATTTCCCTCGTGAGTGTTCCCCACTGCAGCGTTTATGTTGGCATTTCCCTCATGCTCAGATGCCTTCCTATGGCCTGAGAGAACATTTTCTAAAACGTAATAGTTTCCTACTTTTCAGCTGAGTCCTGCATCATTGTGAAAGACAAAATTTGTTGGTAGTGGGGACTGGGACACATTCTTCCCACCCAACCCAGAAGACTCTTTCTACAGACATTAAATTTAGCTAAATATTTTTCTGGTTTTGTCTAGAACTAAAAAATAAATATAATACAATTTAAGTGCTCACACACTGGAAAGTAGAATTTTAGATACATTAACTTTCCTGTTTGCTTGAACAGTCTCATTTCCCTATAATGACTGCATTGCTTTGCATGACTTCTAAAATTCTAAATTTAAAAATATCCCTTTCAAGATAAAATACAGAACACCAACCGTGGTTAGAAAAGAATATGACATTTTATTTCCACTTATGGATATATAATACATGAATTTAGCAATAAATCATCGCAGAGTTCTGAAATATTGATACTTTAAGATCATACACAGCAACATTAGCCCACTCACTGCAAAGCAGCCACATCAGCAGTTCAGATTTGGTCTTTGTTGTAGCTCTTAGTGTAGACGCCCACGGCACACGGGTAATAGATTACGGTTAACAGAAACTAAATCTCAGTATCTCATCTTTGGAACAAATTATGCTTATTTACATATCAGTAGGTAGCTCTAGTTACTTACCCTATTTTGAGTTTTAATGAGTGATTTCAAGGGACAGGGGTTTCCAGCTATTGTTTCTTTAGCGTGTCTGAAAGGAATTAACTCTTACTAATGTTTAGAAAAGACAAAGAAAAGGTAATGTTGAGATAAAGGCGCTTTCAGAGAGACTGAAGGAAAACATAAGGTACTACTTTTGGGAAACTGTACATATTCCCAAGCAGAACACAAAGTGCAGTGGTGTGTAACTGATTTGTTTTTAAGTAGTGAAATTATACTACCTTACAGCCTTTTCTAGTATTTAAACCTCATAATTACAATTTGAATATACAGCCGACTTACAATTAGAGCTATGCATAGCTTCTACAGCACATGTTTCAGATTTGTTTTTGCACATAAATTAATTGGTCCTTGATTTGGAGAACTATAACTACCTGGAAGCACTAAATTTTGGGTATATTTATCGATAGCTAACAAAAACATTACAGAGTGAAAAGCATCAATAGTACCATGCGTGGAAAAGCAGCTGACGCCCCCAAGCATAACATCAAATCCAGCACGAGGCTGCCCAGAGGCCCCACGAATCTCTGACAGACCCCCAAAGACACCCAGTGTTCAGGAAGAGCAGCTGACCAGCCAAGGACATTTCCACACTGGGGCGATCCTTCGATCAGAAGCTTTGGGCCTTTAGCAATCTGAGAGAGAGGCTTTACATTCTTTGATTTCTCTTAAACCTTTTAAAAAAGACTAAAAATAGCTGATTTTTTTTTTCACACTTAAACTGCTAGTTCAACAGCAGCAGTTCAGGTGAAAGAATTCATGAAGCAACCTACTGAAACTTCAAGAGTACACTGTACCCCATCTCCTCTTCCCTGTGAGGTCACAGACTATTTTGTCAAACTACTCGATGTATATAAAAGACTTACATTTTATAAACATAGTAGCAGTAGCTTATTATTACAATTTGAAGAAAAGTCCAAAGATGTCAGGAAAAGTATGCCTGCTAACAGCGACCACTTCTACGATGAGAATATAATGAAACTGAGCTAGAAAAATAATTTTACTGTTTTAAATAATGAAAGGAGCTAACTTTTTAAATATATTACTTATTCAGCAACAATGATTAAATTGACAATGAGTAGATTGCTTCCATTCTGCAGCTGAATTCATGTTACATTTTAATTACAGAAGAGCTTCAAATTATAAATAACCATCCCAATAGTGAAGAGATCATCAAGGCAGTAACATCAGATCAGTTTCTAAGTCATCGCCCCACACGGAGCACAAGGTGTGCTGTGACAGGCTTTGATCAGGCTGGTGTGGAAAGCAGTTCAGTAAAGACTCCAGTTCTGCACAACGGACTCTTGCAAGCCAAGCCGCTTTCCACAGACACACATTCAGTCTATCTTTTCCTTCTGGACCAACCTGGGAGCATCAACAAAATCTTTGCCATTGTAAAGAATAATGAAAAATGTGCCGATGCTTGCCACTCCCCAGAAGAGCACGTAGGCCAGTGTTTCTGTCCAAGTATCACCTGTTGATATAAAAACCAGACAGCTGATAAAAGCTCCAAAGGCCACCAGCTTATTGATACCAGACCCAGCTTTAGCTGCTTAGCAGCTCTTGGTAATGTTAAATTTACTAGTGGCCCCAAACTCTGGCTAGCATCAGAATTCTCTGCAAAGTTTAAAGAGCAAGAACTGCTGGGCCCCACTCCAGAATTTTCAATTCAGCAGCTCTGAGTGGGTCCCCAGACCTAGAATTTCTAACAAGTTCCTAGACAATCCTGATGCTACTGGTCCAAAGGCCACATATACGTATCACTTAGCAAAAGTATTTCATATTTTATCAAACAAATAAGCACTACTCTTAGGTTATACTTTAACACTGCAAGAAACTATTACTGTTTAGTGACAGTCCTATCTATGACAAGCATTAGCTGCTATCAAAATATTTACACACAAAATATACTTAATAAACTTCACAAGTTCATTTTGATGACCTATTTAACACAATCTCCTGATACATATCTTATTCAAGTCGGGCGTTCAGGAGGGCTAGCAGTGGGGCTTCTCGGACACTTGCACCTAGTGACATTTCCTTCCTGCAGCAGAGGCCAACAGCCAGACAGAGCACAGCCCAGGAAAGAGCCGGACTGAAACTCTTCTCTAATGAGTGTCAGGTATGTACTCACTGATTTCCTGTTCTCTTAGAAACCAGAGTAGGAATGGGAAATCAGAAATTACCACATCTGAACACTACAAAGCTCATCACTTCGCAATTAACTGATGTAAGATATTACCACCTATCGCATCTAATCTCTTTTAACTCAGAACATATCCAAATGTGCTAGCTGTTACTTGTCAGAGCTCTGAGTTTTACAATTCTTCTTGACAAAGCGAGGCAGCTCCTCGTAAGCGCAGTCTAGAGCACCGGCCACCCAGTTTGTCCTGGCTGAGCTGTTGGTCCTGCTCTTCCCGCCCCTCCCGAGGTTCCACAGGGAAATGTGAGCACAGAGTCAAGAAAAAATACAAAACAGACCAAAACAACGACTAGCTCACCGGTGGACTGGCTCCCAGAGCGCTGTATGACACAATGTGCGGGTTGGGTCAGAGGCTCTAGCTAGCCGGCGTGGGCCTGGGCGCCCTGAGCGGCACGTGTTGGCTGGCCCTGTCCTCGAACCTGCCACGGCCCACGCCTCACAGTGGTGCCTGTGCCCTAGAGCCCTCAGCCTGGCTTTATCCAGAGCTAAAAAACGGCTTTCACATTTTTTAAGGGCTGTAAAATAATAAAAGCACCACACGATATGCAACAGAGACTGTGCATACAGTGCGGAAAGTCTGACGCAGCTATCTGAAGGGGGCCTCGGAGGGAGCTACCCCTATCCTCTGCTTCTGCAGTGGTGTCCACTTGCATGCTGACCACTAGCCTACAGCCCAGACTGACACTGCCGTCCAGGGCACAGTGCCACATGCCTTTTCACAGGACTAGGGACTGGTCACTTTCTCTAGCCTCTCCACATAGCTGGACCTCAGGAGTGTGAGGGTGAGGTCCAGGGGTACACCTTCCACTTGCAGAGACCAGAGGCAAGCCTGTCCTGGAAGCCTTCCTTACCTATGGTGTTGTTAAGTCTTTTGGGGGAAATAAAAAAGGAAGCTAAAAATAAAATGCTTCTAGTTCTTTATAGAAAATGGTCGCTGGCCCCTCTCTAGAGCACAATAGGACGCTCCTTCCCTGCATCTTACTGTTTACAGGCTGCACGCTGAGGCTGCACAGGACGGGTACTGAGTCTCCCCTGCCACGGAGCCAGAACTAGTGGTGGGAGCGAGGATGAATGTCCTTGATTGGGAAACACTTAAGTATTACAGCAACTCTCTGTTCTCAAAAGTTGCAGATACAGTGAGAAGGACCAATAAGTGTCTAATGAGTCAAATGAGCAAAGTGGAGTTATTTATCAAGAGGATGCTATAACCAGGAGTTTGATAAATGGTTTTTTCTCTTCAGATTTATTTTTTTTTTCTTATTGCCAATGTAATACATAATAATTATAGAAAATAGTCCTAGGCAAAAAGGAAGGAAACATTTGCTATACTGCCTTCTAGAAATAACTACTCTTAACATTTTAATGTTTCAACCTTTACAAGTGTGATTTTTTTAAGTCATTTTTATGTCTTTTCCACTGAGCATTTCCTTAAGAGAGAAAGAGTATTTATCAAGCTCCACAATGTATCCTCCTCATGTCACATCAAAGCACTAGTCCCATCCTGCTCACCTGACTCAGATTTACAGAGAAACATCAAGTGCTGAGTAGATATCAAAACTCAAGACACTGTAAAACAGGTCAACTGCAAGTAACGAATATAAGACTGAAGTAAGCAGACTCACCAGCCATAAGCAAACAGATGATGCACATTGAAAAGGCAACAACCATGATAATAGGCAACTGGAAAAGAAAATGGAAAGAGAAGCCATCACTTAGAATGTTAATCAATGGTTGCAAAATCAATTGTTTGCTTAGCTTGAGAAGGAATAAGACTCTTCTGTAATTGAACATACAAATTACCTTCTTTCAATAAAACACTATCATTTAAGGGTTCAGTCGAAGAGCTGCCCAAATCTTCAGACTGGGTAGGTCACAAGACCTGAGGAAGCAGAGCAGGCTCCAAGTGGAGAGCCCTCTGAGGAAGGAGGTCCCTGGGGGAGAACCCTGGACACCAGGTTGCCCGGTGTCCTCCCCTCACTGGGATGAGACCCAGAGACACTCCTGCAGGCTGGTGAACAGACGCGATGAAGGAGACACATGTAACCAACACGCTTTGCCCTCTGTGTTACAAATCTGCCTTCAGCGATTCCCAAACACAGGGAAGGGGAGTCTTCAGAGAATGAGAAATGCTCCCATCATCTGTGTATGTGTTCTCACATAAGGATGGTGTAGTGTGAAAGAAAACAAACACTCCAAACTTACATTACACCTCCTCTGGACTGCCTCCTTAAGAAACCTAAGTATTTATATTCTATTTAAAATAACATGTAATGTTGGAAATCAAGGGGAGTTTGGTATCATCTAACCTTTAGAAAAAGTGCTTTTTATAACTGGAAAAACAAAGATTTCTTACAGCCAGGAATTTCCAATCCCTTGGAACACTCAAAGGACTATGGAATTCTAATTCGTCCACTGAATAGTTGCCAAGAAATAAGTCTATGGAATCCTAGAACAGAAAGAAGAAAATTAACAACCCAAATTACATGTGATTACATTACTGACGAACAGTGCAAAGATACACCAAATACAAACTTACTTGTCTAAATCCATCAGAAAAGTTGTTCTTGTAATACCGGATAAGCGAGTTCAGGCCGTCCATTATAAGACCCAACTGAGTTCTCTTCCCAGTTCTGGTTAAAAGAGGTTAAGTCTTGACTTACAGACTTGCAATATTAAGTTCTCATACTGTTTTATGGCCTACAAGCTTGTGGCACAGAGGTATGTGCGTTACAAAGATTTTAAAACTCATCCCTGAAAATATAAGAGAGACCCCCTCACAAAAGAAACCACTAGCAGGCTCAAGAAATGTGTGTTTTCCTTTTCTAAAGTAGTGGCAAAGAAGGAAAAACAGTTCTAGTCACAAAGACAAGAAATGAAAAGCACACAGCTCAGGATGAGTAGCATGAAACAGTGAAGAGACTAGAAATCTCTATTTCGCTCCCAGGGAATCTGTAAAGCAAAAAAACTCAAATGCATTTGTACCAAATTCAAAATTTTCTAGCTTCTCACTGCTTGGTGGGTCCTTGAAAACAGCACCAGCGTCCCCTGGGTGCACTCTGGAGGCACAGACCCGCAGCCCTGCCCAAATAGTGTCTCAGTGCACATTAAAGTTCAAGCACTGAGGGGCCCTCACTGTCAGCACTGAGCGTCAGCATCACCAGGGAGGCGACCCCACCAGGACCTGGGCCTCATCTCCTAGTAACCCTGACCAGAAACAAGTCCACGCACTGGTGTTCTGATGATCTTGTAGCTGTTGTGAAAAGTTACTAAAGTGACTCTAATCTCCACGAGGACTATGAACCCCTGATGTGAATGCCAAGTTCAAACGTGTAGCTTGCCTGGTAAAGTCGGTCTTCAAGGCACCAGTTCCTGCATACTGTTTGGCACAAGCATTTGCATTGTCAGCCCAGGCTGTGAAAATAAAGGTAAAAGTCAATAATAATAATTAAAATGATGACCAGAGCTCTAAATCCAAAATAGTAACTGATTTCAAATTATGTACCTTTGCCACTATAAAGGTAAATACCTACCATTTTTGTAAATCTTCTCAAATTCATTCTGTTCTTCAAGCTTCTGTCCTACATGCAGAACTCCTAGTCTCTGGAATAAGAACCACACCCATGTTTAAGGTGTAATATATTTCAGCAGACAGCCCCCCAAATCACAACGCACGGCTTTTGGTTACGCGCAGGAAGGTGTGTTCCTCATATAGCGGGCCCGGGTCAGCATCGCTTCCCCCACTTGGGGCTGGCTGCAAACCCTCTCTGAGGGCTCTAGCTGCCCTGCTGCCCCCCTCTCCTTCAAGCCCCAGAACAACAGGACAGTGACAGGACGGCACTCAGGGAGCAGGAGAAGGAAAAGTCACCAGTTCTTCCTCCCTGACTCCCCCAAGCTTCCACTGTCTATTACTCCTCTACCTGCATCACAAGTCCCACCCCCAGATTTCTTTACCCACAGACTATTCCAGGGGCCCCCTGAGAATCAGGTAAATGCTACATACACATAGCCCTTAGTATGTCATTTTAGGGGATTCCTGGGCTTCCCAAATATCCCTATCCACTCTGCTTTGGGGTGCACTGACCACAGGTTGAGGAACGCCTGCCTTGGTCGTCATCTCGGACTCTCTCTCAACCCTCTGAGAAGCACCATCTTCATGGCTCACCTCAGACTACACAATTCTTAGACAACCTCACCACCTCTACTTCAGAATGGGGTACTCACACCCTAGACATGGCACAAGAGCCACCCTGAATGACCTCCTGGTAAAAACTCTGCTCTCACTGGATGGCAAAAAGGCACAACTGAGAGCCCACACCGGCAGGCACTGTGCTGGAGAGGCTCCTGCCCAAAGAATGCCGGTCGGGCAGGTCTACAATGCTGTCAGTAGCATACAAAATTGTGAGATCGATTACAGCACCTTGTTAATTAAGTAGATTCTTGTTAGTCTGCCTTGGCACCAACCGTCTCCAATAGAAAAGACTGTTCCTACTGAAAATTATCTCTGAGTATATTTGCCAGAGTGACAAGTACACAATACAGCACACATTCAAGAATGTTACTCCTTTGGCATGTGGACCTTTAGGGTCAAGCACATACTCATTCTAAAAGATGTATTTTATTTTACTGCTATAATTCTTTTCTGGGTATCATAAAATTTTCATAGACAAAGTTGAATATTGACCAATTATTTAGGCAGGAAAGTGTTTTGTTTGCCTCTCACAACAAATATCAATGTAACCTGGAAACCTGTGCTCTAATATTTTAAATTCTACATATAAACAGAAGAAAATATTTATACCCATTAAAGCAAAGCTGTCTTAGTTTATAAGATAAATAATAATAAAAGACAATAATAAAAGACAAAGGAAAAAACCTTGAGGTAATATTAAAATAGAAAATTAACTTTTTAAAATAAAAATATCTAATGCTGGCAAGAGTGCAATGAAATATATTCATTTATCACTGCTGGTATCAGTGAAAAATGGTATGCCCCTCCTGGAAAGTTCTCTGTTTACTCTCTTTAGCCGAGGATTCCACTTTGAAGAATTAATTCAAAGGTCACAATGCAAGTTAATAAAATACCCTCAGATATATATTCCACAATGTTATTTATAAGCCAAAAGTTTAGCACCCAAACGATCTTAGTACCTCATAACACAACCATACAGTCCCTAAACGCTGTATGTGTAATGCTAGAGAAAATTGGCCAAGTTTAAATTGCTCATACATACATACACTATGGTTCCAGAAAAATGCACACACCATAAATGGCAAGACATAAAAATAAAAAGAATGGGCCAAAGTGATGGGACTGTGAATCTGTTATTGGTTTTTAAAGGTAAGTTTCATTTTTTTGCTATTAATTAAAGGAAAAAAGGGGATTTGCACCTGAAGCTGAGCCTGAAGTGATCGACGTGCTAGGAGACTCTGAATCACATTGGTTCTGTCCAGACAGTCCATGCAGTTGCTGCGGAACACGCCTTCCTGGTTCGTCACCACCTTGCCGGCAGAGTCCACTAGAAAGTAACTAAAACATATTTGTATAAACACTCTCATACAGAACTCAGTCAAATCTATTAAGGACATACCTCTTCGAAATGAAAAGATCAGACTGGCGTGCACAGTCAAAAAATGATTGCAGTGTCAGAGGCCGTCTCACCAGAGAAGTGAGGAAGCACAGCTGGGAGAGCAGCGGAGGCTGCCAGCAACCACCTCTGCCTAAGACAAGAAGAGGGTTTCCTCTGACATGACTATTCCACCTATATCCCATGTATCAGGATTCCCCAAAGTGTGGTTCCTGGATGCTGTGAGCTGTTTATTTAAAATGAAGATGCTTAGCTTTGCTATAAATTGAGTCAGAATCTCTAAAGCAAGAATTAGATATTATGCATTAAAAACTGTTGATTCCTTTTTCAAAAATGGGCAATAGCAAATAGTACAAAACAGAAGATAAAATAAAGTGTTATTTAAAGAATAACAGCTTCTGCATGGAAGCCAACTATGGTTGCCAGTTTATCTGTTTTCTTATTATTACTATTGAAACTGTTTGTTAAAATCCTCAGGTGATTCTACAAAGTCGAAATTTTGACAATACACAATGTGACAGTGAAGCACATGCATCCTGGCAGTAAACCTAGCTCCTGGCAATTTATATTTGGTAACCTACATTAACCTAAGTTCTCAGAGCCTAAGTGTTTTCACCCATAAGAAGAAAGTTCACTGTGGCCCTCCCTGGTGGCGCAGCGTGTTAAAGCACAGCACAAAGAAGCTTAAACCACTTCCGCAGATCCCCGCCTGTGGGGCAGACCTCTCCTACCAGCCCGCTGCTCCCCTCCGCAGTGTATTTCATCGATCTGCCTGTTCTATACCCCACTCTGTCTCTGGTGAATCCTCCCACCCTCCGCATCTCTGGCCTGTACCCCAGTTCTGTACAAATAAATAAATCTTTAAAAATAAAAAAATTAAAAAAAAAAAGAAAGTTCACTGAAACAGCACCTCTAGGATTTGGATGAAATGCATAATCACATAAGCAGAGTGTACAGTACAGAGCATATAATACATTCTAGATAATATTAATTTCCTTAAATTTATTAATTTTATTGCCGTTACCACAAATCCAAATGAGGGGATAAACACAGCAGACTAGTCAAAGGCTAAATATAAATCATCACCTTACAAATAAAGATCAAGGCCCTCCCTGGTGGTACAGTGGGTTAAAACACAGTACTAAGAAGCTAAAGTCACTTTCACACGAGTTTGATCCCCAGCCCAGAGGCGGTGCACATGGCGCAGCAGACCTCTCCTGACCCGCTCGCTCTCCCCTCAGTGTTCTTCGTCAGTCTACCTATTCTGTTCCCCACTCTGTCTCTGGTGAATCCTCTCACCGCCCCTGCACCTCTGTCTGGCCTGTACCCCAGTTCTGTATGCATAAATAAATCTCTAAAAATAAACAAATAAATACCAAAAACAATGCATCTAGACTAAAATTCTACATGCAGTTCACGCCAATCGTTGAGGCCAGAGTCGGTGTATGACACACGTACACACAAGCGCATATGGACCCCGACAGCAGTTCTCACAGCATAAACATTACGCACTTTATAAATCTTTTTCTTAAGTTATACAGTAAGTTTAGGAGGTAGGTGGCATTATCTCCAATTTGCATATGAAGAAAGCCGGTGGTGACCTCCCTGGTTTGGTGAGCACTGGCCTGCCCTGGCTCGCATGACTGGTAAGGGGCAACTGAGGTAAGAGCCCAAAGCCCAGCTTCTTTCCACTTGACCAAAATTTCTGGGAAAGAATGTCCAGAAAGGCCATCTAAAAGGCACTGGTGAGAGCTCCACTGTCCCTGGGCACAGAGAATGCAACAGACACAAACTGCCTATCAACTGTCCCTTCTTCTCACACTGGTAAGTGGCAGCAGTGATGGATGAACCCAAGGAACCAATGACACATCAGGCCCGGTCAATGTTTACTCTGACCCAATAATGAGAGAGGTAGATGCCCCTACACAGGCTATGTTCACAAAACCTTACTGGAGGGGGAAGATTAATCCAACTGAAGCTAATTATTACATATGTATACATGTATTTTAAACTAAGCAATGACTCCAAGAAAGGTCTAACTTTGCTATAATGTAACTAAAAAGTATATATGAGTTGCCAGGGTTAGAACTACACTGAGGCAGAACAAAATGAGAATGCTTAAGATTCCTTCTTCTGATTTAAAAATAAGTTGACATATGCCTATAGTATAGTAAATCTGTGGACCAGTCGGTAAGTAACATAATGAAAACACAAAGGCCTAAAAAAAGATATTTAGACCTTTTTATCTATTAATCCTCTTTTCAAGAATTTACTTTAGCAAATACTCTAAAGGGAGTAAATATAGGCCCTCCCTGGTGGCGCAGCGGGCTAAAGCCCTGCACTGAGAATCTAAAACCACTTCCGCATGAGTTCGATTCCCACCTGCCCCGGAGGTGACCACATGGCATGGCAGACCTCTCCTGACCCGCCCGCTGCTCCTCTCAGCAGTGTACTTCATCGATCTGCCTGTTCTGCTCCCCATTCTGTCTCTAGTGAAGCCTCTCACTACCCCTGAGCCTCTGGCCTGTACCCCAGTTCTGTATGCACAAATAAATAAATCTTTAAAAAAAAAAAATTAAAGGGTGTAAATATATCTATCTAGATAGAGAGATACAACATATCTATCTAGATATATATAACATATCTATCTATATACAGATAGATATAACATATCTATATATATATATTATATAGAGCGAGGTGAGGCTCTGAGTGATTCACTGCAGCACAACTTTTCATGGTAGAACTAGAAAAGGAAAAGGAAAAGCCTCAGATATTTCAGGTGAGTGAGTGTGTTTAACTGAAACAACAGAATACAGAAAAGCCATTAAGCACTATCATCACAAAGACCAGGTAGGTTAATGACAAAATACCCTTGACAATATTTAGCAAATGCTAATGCTGCTGAAAATAAACAGGAGGTAAACTAAACTAACTTCAACTATATACAATTTGTAATCATGTGGCAGATTATAAAAATGTGTAATTGCCTAGCCCTAGGTCATTTTTAAGAATTTTAAAATATTTTTAAATCATCAAGCCTCATCTTTTCAATTAAAAAAAAAACTAGGCCCTCCCTGGTGGCGCAGCGGGTTAAAGCACTGTACAAAGAAGCTGAAACCAGTTCCTCATGAGTTCGATTCCCGCCTGCCCCAGAGGAGATCCACATGGCGTGGCAGACCTCCCCTGACCCGCCCGCTGCTCCCCTCAGCAGTGTACTTCGTCGATCTGCCTGTTCTGCTCCCCGCTCTGTCTCTGGTGAATCCTCTCACCCTCTGCATCTCTGGTCTGTACCCCAATTCTGTATGCATAAATAAATAAATTTAAAAAAAAAAAAAACTAAACAGACAAGTACTCTCAACCCAGTGAACTATATTTGTAATAATATAGCTTACCTTAATTCATCTTGCATTTCTGCTACCTGATCCAGTAAAATACTTAGTCGATCCCATCTCATATTTTTACATTCCTTATGAAAGTCAAAGGCAATATATCTATGAAAAGAAAAGATATTCAGAAAGTAACTAGGATTATTAGTTTCCCTTCTATTAATAATACCTTCACAAGCTGGTTTTTCTCTTTCAATGAAAACATACATACTTTTTGGGACAACAGAGCCTCCTACACTCTGGGTTTACCATTATAAACAAACACACTCACACTCACACACACTCTCACACACACTTCTATCTTCACATGTTCTTCCATAAGCCTCTAGCAGTAAAGAAGTCTAGACAAATGCTAGGGCAGTTAAACTAGGGTACAGTAAGTAGGTAATGCAAAATGGTGTGTCCAATGGAACACCTTATATTCTTTACTCCCATGTATCCTTTTCCATATTTTAAATTTAAATCAAGTCCCAGATTTGTAGTTTAAATCAGTAGTTCAAACTGGTCAAAGTTGATTCAGCCTAAGGAGGCTGAGACTGTCTTTTGAGAGTGTACCAGAAGCTGTGAGAACAGAGACGGGATGGGCCCATCTGGTTAGTCACTGTCCATAATAAAAAACCCACATCTTAAAATCAGAGTTGAGTTGTGTCAATCAATCAATAGTGGATTATTTCCTGCTGCCTAATATTTAAGGAGCACAATTCGCAAAGTTAGAACACATCTAACCATGAAGAGATATCCTACTGTGAGTTGAAAAAAGTTGCCCTGGAGAGGGGAACCATGGATATATGGAGTTCCTCATCTATGTCTAAACTCCTACTCAGAAATCAAGTGGGACTTTGTAATGAGCAAGATTCAGATGGAGCATCTGCTCTTGTTATGCCTTTGCCTCCAGCAGGCCAAAGAGGGATTAACAGAGATACTGCTCTGCAGATCAAGAGAGGGGCTGCTACCACCTCAATGGTTACCTCAGGTGAGAACTGTACCTCTGGAAACCAGTATAAAGCAGAGGCTAACCCACGGAGAGGTTACACTGTGGGAAGACTAAGCAGGGCAGGGAGCATTTGCAAAGGCAACTCCACTTAAAGTAATATTGTTATAGTTCCTTTGAGAGTACTCTGGCCAGAATCACCCTAGACTTCTCTGAAAGCAGTTCATTAGCACCTACATGCACCTGGTTTCTGAAGCTTATATTCTTCTAAAATCAGGTATCTTCTAAGAATGAGTGACATAGTGATACTTTGACAATCAAGTTCTGAATACATTATTTTACTTCTGAGCCAATAGTTAAGCAGTCACACATCTTTCAAAGTCCTAGTGGGGAAAAACCCTTACAGACATATCATGTCTAATAAATTAGACATCTTATTTTAATTTCAAACAGTTTCCAAAGAATAGCTATTGCTAATGTGTCCCACCACTCCTCAAAATGCAACCACATGATTTTCCTCTTTCTGGTCACTCACCAATCCATCAACTTTATTTTATTCATTCAAAGGCACAACTAAAAAGTGAAAGAGCTAAAAATATCTGTATGGTGACATTAATTTATCATGCAATTTCAGACCTTCCCCAACACACCATTCCCCCCTGCCAAAATATGAATTTATTAAATTTTTAAAATAAAATATGTTTTTTAACATGGCCCCCTTGTAGTCTTTATAGAAAAATAACAATAGCTTTGGGGTACTGTCTCTTTAGCAGCCAGTGCTCTCCAAGTTCCCTGGAACACAGTTCTCACTAGAAGTTATTAGTTTCTGCAACAAACTTGAGAGGCCAGCATCCCTATGGAAACCGTCTAGGGAAGAGTGTTAACCAGGGATACACACAAGAGCCAGCAAACAAGTTTTTCCCAGTTTATACATACTGGACTTCAAGCCCAGAGCCTGATTTTTCAGGTCTGAGGTATATTCTGAGCAAGTTCCTTTAACGACTCTGAGTCCTCCTGGTTAGGAACCCCTTCCCTTCTTTAAGTCCTCCAAAGTGTGTTTGGGCAGGCTGTACTGTGAGATGGCAGAAGTGTGCAGGAAGAGAGGGTGTGATAAAACTGCTAGAGCTTTTAAATTCAACAAGAAGACATAAATTTTCCCCCATAGGCTCACAATTCATGTGTATGTTTAAAATTTTCCATAGATTAAAAGAAAAAATTCTCCCAAATCACCCAGTATCATGCCTGTGACTACTTCCGACCACAGTACACCCCTCTTCCATTCCAGTTTCCTAGTGCAGAAAACCCCAAACAGGCTGCCTCATTATCTTGCTCCATTTTTTATGGCAACTCTCGACGTTTTAGGATCCTCCCTCTTCCGACAACACTACAAGAGTTTGCATTAGTTGCCTGGTAACCTAAGGGAGGTCATTGCTGCTACCCCAGATAAGGTCACCATACAAGACCAAGTAGCTACAGTCACATGATACTCAAGACAACAGAGCCTAAATCAATTATGAGGCTGAAAGCTGTGACCCAATGACCACAGCAACACAAAGTCTAAGGAGAGAATTTTAACTTTTTAACTTTTATAAAATTAAAAAGATTGATGAGGTTATTCTGTATATATATTATGACAGAAAAAATTGCAAATCAACAAAATCATGTTTTGATGTACTGTTGGAAAAAAAAATCAACTTCACAGTATCTAGTAAGATCCACATACTCAGCACAACTGCAAACACACATCAACTCTAAAGCCTGGCAACAGAATTCTATAAGGTACCTGATCATTCCACTTGCCAAGGAAGACACCATTGTTGCAAATGCCTGCTCAAGTGGCTTCTCTGAGCCCTTCTGATTAACCTGCAAAAAATTAAAAATACCACAGCTTTCTTCCAAGTTTATTTAAGAAGAGAGTGACATCAGCAAAATGGCAAAGTAGGAAGTGCCAAATTCTTGTTTTCTCACAAAAACTTTCAGAAAATTTCAGAAGTTGCCTGAACCAACTTTGTAGGAGCTCTAGAAAACAGTGAAAGGTTTATAAGCAACCAAGTAAATGCCTAATCAAGAAAAAACCATCAAAATTGTAGAAGTGTTTCTTGGCATTTTCACTTGCCCTTCACCCCATTCCCTCCCCATTGCTCTGATGGCCTTGAGAACAGAGGCAATGTGGTTCTGAGTCCCCCTCTGCAAACTGGGGGAGTGATCAGACCTTATTTACAAATTATTGTATATGTTTAGTCTGTACCGAAGGTCCAGAGAATGAATCATTTATCTCTGCCCGGCCTAACTCTGAACACAGGCAGGAAAGGTGGCAGACACTGTTCATAAAAACCTCCAGAAAGTTGCAAACCAACAATGCCAAGGGCAAGAGATTTCTGGTGCTGACATACTAAACCCATCTAAATAAAGACTGAAGAAGAGGTTAGGGGATATTCTGTACGAAATTAGGACATTCCTCTTAGATGAAGGAATTTAGAAAGCATACCCAGGTAAGGTGCATGCTCAGGAAAATACTGAGATCTTCAGGCTTCATCACAGGCTGACTCCAGGGCTCAGAACAAACCTAGCCAACCAGCGAAGGACTGCTCCAGCACAGAACCTATCTACAGAGACTAGGGGATGGAGTGGGTCTCTGTTTATTTTTGTTTTGACTGTTTTAGTTATTAGCATTCAATGAAACCACCACCAAAACAGCTGAACATGAGACAATAGAAACTTCAGTGAGCATCCACAATAAGGAATAGTCTCGTAAATACACTATGAAAAAAATCTCAGAGCAAGTGGATTATGACAGCTCCAACAGTCCAACAGAAAGCCAGATAGTGTAACCTGCTGCACCTAACCTTACACATGGGCCATAATAAATGGGGCTGGAGTTAACACGGATGTCAAGATTAACTCAATGAGAAAAGGACAGCCTTTTCAGTAATTGTCAATGGTGAAACTGGATATCCGTATACAAAGTATAAAGTTGAATCCATTTCTTATACCATATGCAAAAAGTAACTCAAAATGGACCACAGATGGTAAGCTATAAAATCCAAGAAGAAAACATAAGAGAAACACTTCATGATGTTGCACTTCGCAATGATTTCTTGAATGTGATATGAACAAAACCAACAAAGAGATAAATTAGATTTTATCAAAGTAAAAAACTTTTATGCCTCAAAGGACATTATCAAAAGCGTAAGACAACCCAAACAATAGGAGAAAAAACTTGGCAAAGCATATATTTGATAAGAGACTAATTCCAGGATATAAAAAGAACTATCACTGAACAACAATAAAAAAAAAAGCCTGACTAAAAATGAGCAAAATATTTGTGTAGCTATTTCTCCAAAGAAAATATAAAAAGATACTTAACATTAACAATCATTAGAGAAACATAAATCAAAACCATGAGACACTACTCCATATGCATAAGACTGGGCATAATCAGAAAACAAAACAAAACAAATGCAATACAGAAAACAAGTGTTGACAACCATGTAGAGAAACTGGAACCCTCCTGCACTGCTGGTGGGAATGTAAAATGACTAGCTATTCTGGAAAGCAGTATGGCACTTTCTTTAAAAGTTAAGCATAAGAGTTATCACATAATCCAGCAATTCCATATTGAGGTATATGCTTAAAAGACTGAAAGCAGGACTCAAACAGATATTTGCATCCCAATGTTCACAGCAGCATATTCTGCACTACCCAAAATGTAGAAACAAAACAATGTCCATCTATGGAAAAACAAAATGTGTTATACATAAAATGGAGTATCATTCAGTGTTAAAAAAGAAATGAAGTTTTGATGCATACTGTAAGATGGATGGGCCTTAAAAACATTATGCTAAATGAAATAAGGAAAACACCAAAATCAAATATATGATCCCATTTATATTAAGCACCTAGAATAGGTAAATTTATAGGCACAGTAAAACAGAGTTATTGGCGACTGAGAGGAGAGGCACAATCGGAAGTTACTGTTTAATGGATGCTGAATTTGGTACAATGAAAAGTGCTGGAAAAGGTCAGAGGTGATGGCTGCACAACATTATGAAATGCTAATGCCACTGCATTATATACTTAAAAATGGCTGAAATGGTAAATTTTATCTTATGTAAAAATGTTTTTTGTTGCCCCCCCCAAGAAACACGTTAAGGACATACCAGATTGACTATGACTTGTTTTCCATAAATAATTACTTGTGAATCAAAATGCCTCTGGAAACCATCCATCTAGAGAGGAAAAACAAGATACTCTTTATCAGATTACATTATAATATTCCTAAAACATATCCCCTTATATAGCCTCCCTTTATATTCAAAAGTACAACAGCAAGAGAACCATGTCTTCTAGATAATCATGCAGTAAAGAGTATAAGCCATTCCAGTGTGAGCTGCAATACTACTACTTTTACTCTGAGCACAATCTCAAATGGAATAAGGAATCTACTAAATAAACAGCAGTAAAACTGTAAACCTTACTGAGATCTCTAAAATCGAAGTTTGCTCTGCCATTTAACGGCTCTGTTCCTCCACATTTCTAACATGCCAATAGAGACAGCCTATTGATTTATAGGCTCACTGTGTGCGGTAACCAATGACTCAGGCCTCAAAAGTGTTGAATTCTGCTTTATGGGGAAAAAAGACATGCAAACTATGGAAGCCATTAAGCTTCCATTTTTAGCTGATGGAAAAAACTAGAAGGGTGGAAAAACCATGAAGGATACCTACGTGATTTGCTACTTTGTTGATCTGCGGCATTGGTTTATACTTGAGGTTTGGTCTTTGAGACCAGAAAACTGGTATTGATCCTCGAGTCTAAAAGAAAAGAAAGAAATGTACATCACACATTCAGACTTATTTTTCTCAGTTTAGTGATTGCTGCACACGTGCACACACACACACATCAAGGACTGCAAAGGAAAAAAATACAATCTACCAACTGTGAGAGCAGTTATTGTGGGAATACATTTGCAAAGGACTTTTCTCCTGATTTTATATACATATCACTTGTGTGCTAGACTGTGTTTTACCTAAATGCTAAAATAAATTAACTTATCTATGAATAAAAATCAAGTTTTACGTTACATGTTCTAAAATGTTAAACTAGCTAACTATTTTGCCCAGTCTCAAACGAGTATGTTATGAACCTGTCAGTATGCTTAGCTAGCCACGAATGCTCTGCAGCAGCAAGTGACTCACACCTACTCAAGGAAGCAACCAAGAGGGGTATCCTCTCACAGCAAGGCAAGACCGCAACAGTCCGGCACCAGCCAGAGTCTGGAGTGATGAGCCAGACAGGGGCCCATGTCTGTAATCCTGTGCTCCTCCCCTTACCTCCTTCTGGTGGATTTATTGTAAACACAGGAAATGCTAGCCAGTTAAGAGTCAGGTTAATGGAATATTCTTGTTTTGAGTGAAGTTTTCCGCAGTGTAGACAAAAAAATTACTTTTAAAAGGAAAGAGAGGGAGGGAATTTCAACTTTCTGACAGAAAATTAGGATCTAAGCAGAAAAGGACAACAGCAGGCGTCCAGCCAACACACTAACTTGCCTGTACAAATGAAGTCCTGCTCCCACTGTAGTGCACAATTTGTTCTGTTTCCACAAAGTTAGCTGCATGGCCTTCAGAATCGATTCCTGAAAAAAAATAAATAATAACTGTATTTCTTACTAAGAAATACATGAGAAGTTCACTAATTCCGTGAGTTAGTGAAACTTAAAGTCAGTTTGAACTTAAAGTCAGTGGAAAGGACCTATAAAAATAAATACCAAACAAGCATAGTACAAAGTGAGAAAGCTACTAAAAGCTCACTTATTTATACAGGCTTAGAAGAATTAAGAAGTTATTAAGCAGAAGAAATTGGTTGCTATTTAATAATTCAATTGTTTATAACACATAGAATTCCTCCAAAACCTGCTGTTTGTCAAGCTTGAGGCATATTTTATAAAAGTTTTCCCCAAATTTGAGACATACAGAACAATTCTCAAGGACCATGTATGTTCATAGATCACAACTTTAAAACAGTATTTGGGAATTAAAAACACTCATACAATATTAATTGTAAATATACATCATTATATTAGTTTTATTTACTTATTATAGAACAAGTGGTAAAGCAGATGCTTAAACTGATTTTATCATAATGAAAGCAGAAAAGCTATATAATTCTAGAACTATCATTTCACGAATATTCTCATGAAGCTTACTTTGAGAATAGCTGTTCCGAAGTGTTTACAGAGCCTAAACACTGCCTAGTCCTTTCAAATACTTGAAGCATTCCTTTACAAATTTGTTTACATGATGTTTTACTTAAAACATCAACTTTAAAGCTAGTCCCTGACCCTGATTACCAAGTTATCAGAAAGAAATCAATGGATCTTCAACTGTTCCAAGTAAGTCTTCATGACCTTTCTATCTGACATTTTAAGATTTTTTTTTAGGTGTCAGTGATTTTTGTTAATATGTTAACAGAAAGAGACATGTCTTGCTGATTTTGACTCAAATTAAGTTAAATGTCTTTTATAGAAATGTCTTTCCTACACTTTTTTCAAGAGGCATGGACTCTTGTTTGTTTTCCATAATTCACACTAAGGAAAATTATGTAGTTATTTTTAAGACAGAGTGAAAATGAAAGTTTGCATATGTATATGAGAGAGAGGACTTCTGCAAAAATTTCCAAGTCATATTAATCTAAAAATTTTAAAACAAGGTGCAGGAAAATATGTATAGTAAAAAACCACTGTCTAAAAATAAAGGAGATGCCTGTAAGAACTAACAAATTATTAACTAGTAAAGGGGTGACAGGTAGCAGATAGGGTCAGACAAAAGACATTTTTTAATTGCGTAGCTTTTTATACTTTTTTATACCCAAAATATGTGAGTGCATTACCTATCCACAAAATTTAAGAAAATTTAGCTATAAGGGAGACAATTCTGACCATGAGTTCTTGTCCAGGTCATACGCATGTCTTTCTTCATCTACTACATCATCTGTAATGGGAGGTAAGCTGCATAACCATTATAGCTTCTTAGCCTACATATTTGGCAAATATTAAGCACTTGTCAAATGGCCCATACCACTGCTTCTGATCATTAAAGAAAAACACAAAAACTAAACTTTTCATGACAGTAACTTCTAATATAGATTTTATAGTTTGGTTTGAGCAAATTAGCATGCTGATAGTATAGAATCAAAATATAAATCTAAACTCTGAAGACATAAAGTCAAATTCTGGCTTTACAAATCTCAAGAAATCAAGAGCAATAAAAAAATATTTTCTGATGTAAGTTATATTGAATTTAGCTGTGCTTTCAGAAACCCAGCAAAAATCGTAATCAGTTCTTTTAAAGCAGTAAGCAGCAAACTAGGACCTCTTGTGGACATCTGCAGTGTAACTATGGTAGCTGGAGAAAAGGACAGAAGATAAGCCTGATTACTATAATAATGCAGGAAATACTTAACAAGGTTATCAAATGATAATGAAAACAAAATGCAGAGGATTAAGTTTGTATCACAGTAAGACGAAATGTTAAGTGATATAATCTAGAACTCCAATCAAGCTAACAAAATCAATCTAGAACTCCAATCAGGCTAACAAAATCAATCTCACCTCTTACATAATAGCGTACACCAGCTCTGAAGCAACTCCTTCTCGAGATGAGAATCCAATCAAAGTATTTTCCATTAATAGAACATGAGTGCATAGTAATAACTTAGTACATTAAGGAAAATATACAGAAATCATACATTTTAGGTCTAGATCAAAGCTGAGGTATCTATTTACCCTAGGTTGAATGACTCCATCTTTAAAAGAAAAAAAGGACAGAGAATAAGCAAATCTTTTTTGGTTCTTCATGAATACTCACAACCTTTAGTACTGTCTATTCAATAATAAATATTACAGACACACAATTCTCTCCTTTGAAGCATGCAGCGTCCTCATTCTCCTCACAGTTCCCCAACTGCCCTCCAAGAGATAATTGCTACCCACTCAGTTCATCACTCCCTTTCTTGTCTTTCTAGTTTCTAAACAACAAATCATTTAGTCTGAATAGTTCTGGACCTTATTTTTACATAGAAGGAATTATAATGTATGTAAATTCCTAAGACTCATCCGTACACTGCACGAAACAGATAATTCTTCTTCAATGTTAAGTACAATTTGTAACAAGCACATGACACCTCATTCTGCTGCTGTTGGAATTTGTGGAGTTTAAAGTTTGCTCTGACAGTGATGCTTAACTAGTTTTAAGGCTAAATGGAAAACTGTTTCTAAAGTCATGTAGAAAAATTGTTCTGTAATTTTTAAAAACTGTTCTATGATATCATTTGTTAGTTGTTCATTAACAATCTCATATGGGGGTAAAAAATGGCCCACATACCTAAAGCTAACTAAACACATTTGTTTGTTTTTTTTTCCTTAGAAGAACTGGGGTGTAGGCCAGAAATACAGGGGGCAGGGGTGATTTAAGAGGGTTCACCAGACACGTGGGGAGCAGAACAGGTTGACTGAAATCACTGCTGAGGGGAGCAGCGGCGAGACAGGAGAGGACAGCTATGGGTCAGCTCCCTGGCCAGGAATTGAACTCAGGCCTTGGCAGTGATAGTGTGCCCGTGCTGAGACTTAACCCCTAGGCCACCAGAGAGGCCCAATATATTCTTATTTTAACCTTAGAAGAACTTGGAAAGATTAAGGGAGAGGGAATCAAAAAAGAAAAATCAATTGAATAAATAAAAGCTTTATCTTGAGGTTCTGATTTTTACTTCCCTGTAACTGTGGAAAATGTCTCCTCTATTATTTTTCTGTTTCTCTTTAGTACAACAAGTATAGTAATTTAAGGAAATCATATTAACATAACAAACAAATCACATACTGTTGTGTTACACAACAGTGTACACACATCAGCACATTGTGCACACATCAGCACATTTTCCTACCCTTTAATATCCAGTTCATTTTGTTTCTCCATTCTTACTGTGATGTTTATGATAGACAGGTTTTTAAAATTAATTTAAAATTAATCATTATGTATGCTGCATTTGTAATGATTTCCACCCAGAACCACCAGCCCCAGAACTCTTGAAAGGAGAGAATAATACAGACTGATAAACTCATTCTTAAAAAAAGTCATTTGTGGGCCCTCCCTGTTGGCGCAGTGGGTTAAAGCACTGCACTGAGAAGCTAAAGCCACTTCTGCATAAGTTCGATCCCCGCCTGCCCCAGAGGTGACCACATGGTGTGGCAGACCTCTCCTGACCCGCCCGCTGCTCCCCTCAGCAGTGTACTTCGTAGATCTGCCTGTTCTGCTCCCCACTCTGTCTCTGGTAAAGCCTCTCACCACCCCTGAGCCTCTGGCCTGTACCCCAGTTCTGTATATACAAATAAAATAAAATCTTAAAAAAAAAATCTTTAAAAAAAAAAAAGTCATTTGTAAATTATGTTAGCAAAAGCAGTTTTTACTAATTTTAAAATATTTTCAAGCAATACTTGAAACTGTTGCAAAATCTGCCTTATATTTAAATGAAGCCTGTTAGAAAACTAATGAGGAATACAACTTAAGGATACAGCCATGTAACACTGGAAGTGCAAACCGATGGACCTAAAATGAAGAGACAAATTACATTCAGGTCTAAGTAAACTTTAAAGATAAATAAAAAGCACTACCTAAAAAATATTTACACTTATGGATTAGGTAGTAGTAAGCTTATGAGTGACTTAATTTTAAAGTTCTCTAATGTAACACTGTCTTTTCAATTACAAGTTTTAAGTATGTGTTATAATAATTTGGGTTTAAATATTCCAATGTTCCACACATTAATTTTGAAACATTAATAAAACCCAGTAAGTTGCTCTTTGCTTATAAAAACTTCACTCCTTTGGGGAAAAAGATATACCCACACAAATGTGTGCTACTAGAACAGAAATAAAACCAAAGCAATGACAAGAAATAAAGCAATTTGTTTGCTCTATCTATTTGCTAAGGCAAATCTATTGAGCTAAATGCATTCCCTAGCGGGGCCTCTTTGTTTATACCTTGTTTGTATAAGCTAAGGACAGAGGAAGGCGACACGTGTACACATCTCTCCCTGGTGCCTGAAGAGAATCATGTTTCCACAGGAAAAAAAATACAGAACTTTCCATGTTGGCCCCTTGTGTCTCATTATTCATCTACCAGGACCCATTCTATCTCTTATATAATGCAAGTAAAAATGTACTTTTTTTATGTTATTTTACTTTACTTAAGGCTTCTTTAAGATGATCAGAGTAAAATAGACTTCTTCCACCTAGAACTTCATGAGAAAGTAGACCCAATCCAAGTTCATAAGTAATAAACAGTTAAATAAGAACTATTTACCAAAATCCCTGGTGATTAGTCATTTAATATTGATTCAGTCAAAACTTGGACTATAGCCATTTAGCCAGTTTTATTTAATGTATATTACCTCTGGCTGTGCAGAAAGTTCTCTGAGAAGATGACCATTCCATACAAACCGCTGATCTGCCTGAGAGAGAAATTTTAAAATTAATACAATTATTTTCTGCCAAGTTGAGTTTCTACATAAAGAAAACCTCATCTATGTTTCCCCCAGGTGGCTACAAACAGCTCTTTGACATGATCTGAACAGAACTCAGGACTCTCCATCCCTTCAAATCTGTCCCTAAATATTCCTATCTCATTACTTGAAGTTAATGGCTTTGACTCTGACAGAAACCTGGGAGACCCTCATAGTCCTTCGTTCTCTTAATTTAGTCAACACTCATATCCTAAATCTCCTTGCAAATCCATCCTCTCTTCGATGTCTACTGCCACCACCACTGGCCAACACTTGACCCCACGATGACTACTAAAACAGCTTTCTTAGCTTCAAATCTTGGACTTGACCTTCCCACCAATTCCTCTACAGGCTGTCAGAAGAATTCTCGAACATGACATATCTTCTAGCTGTAAGAAATACTTCAACAGCTCTCTGTTATCTAAAGAAGCAAATCTTTGCAGTCTAGTCTAACCAGCTGTGGGATCTGGCAGCCCTATTTAACGCTGATCTCACCTCTGGACACTCAAGCTACGAATTATAGAAAAACTCCCTCAACAACTCAGTAATAGTTCTCTTTAAAAACCAATTCTTTCTATAAAATAACACACAGAACACTTCTCCATCTTTGTTCTCCAAAGCTGCAAGTCACAGGGTATAGATGCACATTTAGGCATAACTTGTTGATGGTACTTTCCCCAGATTTAGGTGTATGCGCTCAAACTGCATGTGCTAGCTTGTCATTACCATTATCATTCCATATTTCAAATTAATATTTTATATTACAAGGAAATATGACTTTTAAACACCTACTGTTTGTATAAAGTTCAATGACTTAAAATTTCACTTTATGAAATACAAATTATTAAACCAAAACTGCTGTTGAGTTAGGAATAAGAGTAACAAGTATAGAAGAGTAGGGAAGCAGTGAAAATCTAGAGAATTCTGCAAACAGACTGCTCTGCAAGTATCAAAATCTTTAAAGAGCCTCTAGCTGAAAAAGCATTATCAATGCAATCTATACAGGAAAGACAATTAGAAATCAGGAAAATCAAAACCAAAGAAAAACTTATGGTCCTACATAAAATTAAAAAAAAAAAATCAAACTGCTCAATGTAAAATTTAACATTTTAAGTTGGTTGGTTTTCTGAAATCTATGAAGACGTTTATTAATTTTAACTGACACTTTTAATTAGTTGACAAAAACATCCCTTCCAACCCCAGCACATTAGATAGGTTCCTCTTCAATTTAGCCGAACACTGCCACTGCCTCGACCTGGAACCTACCTTCTCTTCCTGTCAACTCTCAACTCAAATGTTAGCGTTCTTAGTAAGGACACCGTGACTCGCCACACAGACTCGCCTTCCTCCATGATACCCCAACACCACTCTATGCCAGCAACTGTCCCTTCTTTTGTGATTGAATTTGTGTCCCTGAGGACTAGATTCCCACAAGGCAGTCTTTTCACTCTGTGTCCCCAGTGGTTACTGCAGTTGCTGGGACAGAGCAGGAATTTGAGAGAAGAACATTTGATTAAACAAAAGGGGAATGCAGACACTGTTCTTAAGCTTTTATAGTTAAGCCCAATTTTTCTATTGCTTAATTTACTTCTAAACTTGTATCTAAGCCTGCATATAATTCTGCATGATAAAATCTTAAGACTGTAAACACATCTAAGATTTGTTAATAAAAAGTCAAACAATGTTCCTGAAAAGCAAAAATTTTAAGCTAAGACTATTTGAGGCCTAGTTTCAAAGAAACAATAATCTTAAAAACAAAACACCTACTTTAAACAAAAAGGTGTTTTTCAAGTTCTTAAATAACTTAAGAAACTATAAATTAGTTCACTGCAGAAAAACATCACCTGTCAGAACAATAATTTTATAAGAATAATTATGTTGCTAATACTGATAGTGACATTGCCAAACACTCACACTAAGAAATTACCTTTGGGCCCTCCCTGGTGGCACAGCGGGTTAAAGCACTGCACTAAGAAGCTTAAGTCACTTCCACATGAGTTCGATCCCCGCCTGCCCCGGAGGAGATCCACATGGCGTGGCAGACCTCTCCTGACCCACCCGCTGCTCCCCTCAGCAGTGTACTTTGTCGATCTGCCTGTTCTGCTCCCCGCTCTGTCTCTGGTGAATCCTCTCACCCTCCGCATCTCTGGCCTGTACCCCAGTTCTGTATAAATAAATAAATCTTTTTAAAAAAATTACCTTAAAAACATGCACTTTAGACTGCTTTTTTAAGCCTTTATCAGCTGTTTGCAAGCCCACCTATGTAATATACAGAGACTCTGTGGCCCTCAATTTGGATTGTGATACATGTTTGAAACAAGGTGTATTTTTAGAGGCACTCTAATCCCTAATTCAATAGCAGTTTCATTGTAATAACTTGTCATCAAGTCAAGTTTCAGCCAGGATTGAGAAAGTGCTATATATATTTTTATGGGTGAAACAAAGAAATGCCCTTTAAAATAAATCAACCAAAATAAACAAAAATACCTGAAGATTAGGCTTACCCTTTCTAAGAGGCTCATTTCTTGGAATTCTGGACTAGTGTTAGACAGTCGCTGTAAAGTATGAGTCAAATCATATGTTGTTGAAAAGTAAAACCCATCCATACTCAAGACATGGTTTATCATCGTTAGGAAAGTTTTATTATCTTGTAACTGTAAATGAAGAGAAGAAAGTAAAATCAGTATCTCATACCTGAAAAAGAATCTGTCAGCATGAAAATAGAATGAAAAATAAAAACCTATTAAGTCCAATTACATACAGCAGCAATGTTACAAGCTGGGGAGCTCACCATTTCCCCAGAACCTCGGATTGTTTCTGACGCACATAAGATGCTCAAAAGTATTGAAGAAAAGGCAAAACTCCACCCTTTTGGTACCCTTCCCAATTTATACCCCAAAGGTCAGAACAGTCATAAGACATTATCACCCTAAGTTATGACTTATTGTGTGCCAGATACTATACGTAAATTTTCTTCATCATCACAACTGCCCTGCTAGGTTGATGTAATTATCCTCATCTGACAAATAAAAAAGTTTGAAAATTCATAAGAAGCATAGAATAAATGACAAAGAGTAAGTGACATGCATAATGCCATCCTCATTGTTAAGAAATTTTACTAGTGTGGGCTGAAGGAGAAATAAAGTGGAATTTTAAAAAATCACAGATTAAAAAATTCAGTAAAAGTTAATTTATCTTTATTTTAGTCTTTATTTTGCTGGCTTTCCCAATGAATACCAAGTTGTGTTTTTATCTTGGTTTAAAAATATAATTGATAACATTATTAACTCTTATATTATAATTCTACAGACCACAAAATTTTTAATTTGGGCTCAGAAATTTAGAAAAAAGGTACAAGCAAAGTAGATGTAGTGAGCAATGATAAAATCAGTTGCACAGCCTGACAAGTATAGCAATCAAGAGAAAATTGTTCAAGTAAATATTACTGGGAAATTAAATGAACACAATTATTTTTGCTCTCTTAAAATATCATGTCTCAAAGAGAATAAATATACTTACATATAAAGAGAAACTTAACATTTAAGTATAAAAAGTATTAAGCATATCCCAAAGTTTTACTTAGCCATCAAGACACATCAAGAATATTTATCACTGATAAGGTATACATTTTAAAATAGTATGTTTTCTTTCAGAAACATTTTGTACTCTTGGAGTAGAATTATATAAAAATATTTTTACAGCAAACACCATAAATAAAACTACACTTATAAAACAAACACTCAATAAGTATAAATCTGGAAACACAACAGTGACTTAAAACAATTCAAAAACTAGAATAAGGCAATGCCATACATCAAGTTTTACAAAACACTTCAAATAAAAATAGATATAATGTGAATATTAAAAAAGGTAGTCTTCATTTTTTCATGGCATGGTGGAACTGTAAAAAATGACCAATTTATAAGCTTTACAATCTTAAACCATCACTAATTAGTGGCAAAAATTCTGATGGTTATATGACCCTTAAAATTTTTTAAAAACATTAAAAACTCCACATTTTAAGTGTAGAAGGAAATGAAGAAAATAGTAAAATATTTATTTAGTACAATGTAATTTAAAATATTAGAATCACTGAGGGGGAAAATTGTATTTCTTATAAAAAATTTATCAAAAGTAGCTTGAAGAGTACTGTCCTCTTCCTAACTTAGGATACAGAGTATCTTTTCCACACCAGGGCTAACTGCCACGGTTTTTTAAGTCTGGACCTCCTCCTAACACTTCATCCTTTGGACTTTTAAAGTCATGAAATACCTCCAAGGGTTTCTTTAATGTGGAGTTTGTTGCTGGCATCATTTTCACTGGGACATCTTCAACCTTTCCAACACAAACACTTCATCGTTAATGTCAATAAATTCACCTTCCCTAAGACCTCTGGCTGGGTACCTAGAAGTCTCTTGAAGGGTGACCATGTTGGTATTCTCATGTTCAGCTGTTTCTTCTATACTCCATTTATTCAATTCTAATTTCATGTCTACAGTTGTCAGCTTTTGTTTTTTGCACTTTGATCTTCAGTGTACTATTTCTTTAGTTAATATCTCATAGTAACTGAAAATTACAGCATGTTGTTGGGAGACTGGTTATTAACTAACCCATGGTAACTAAAACATGTTCACATAAAAACTTGCAAAAGGATTGTTTGAAACACACACACACAAATATATATACAACCTATATTGATATGTGGTGAAAGTGAAGAAAACCTTTTCTCTGGGAAAAGGAAATGAAATGGATGAGTATAATTTTAAAGGTACTTATTATTTTATTTCTTTACAAAAAGAATATGAAATTCAGTCAGTGCTGAGTACATGCGTATTTTGTTTGCCCTTTTCTTCCACATAATAGTCCCTAATTTTAAGAACTGAATCAACTAAAAAAAAAAAACCCAAAACATATTAAAACATATGAAGGACTGTTTAAAAAAGATATTTTATAGCTAGATATAAATGTAGTACAGCTCTATGGGTTGCGTACATAAGACTAAAATGAAATCCATCAAACATTCTTTGTTATTTCACCTCCCTAACCTCCATCCTCATATTACTTCTTCAGGTTTGCAATTAGCAAATTCTGACAGTTCTTACCTGAATATCAGTTAAATGCAACATTGTCTTCTTATAAGAAAGGACATCGAAATCTGTTGCTTTCCAGATTACATGATTGAAAAATTCACCTACTTTTGTCTTTTTGGTAATGACAATTAGATAATTACCTGCATAAAGTAAAGCCAAACACATAAAGATAAGCAAGGCAATTCTAAAGCTGAAAGTAGCAATCTTCATTGTTTAAATTCTAAAGGCCATCAGAATGAAACTGTCTTACATTATATAAAGACCTGCTTTTGTTCGTTGTAAAGGTATGGAATACTGTACTCTGGTCATCAACACATTAAGTTTTATTTAAATATTCTTAGAATGTATGGAAGATGTACACCACTGGAGATTTCAACTCTACTTGAAATAAAATCTAAAATAAATTTTTTAATAGGACTTCAGGCTAATGAACTTTAGTTACTTGGCATTTGGGGTATTTTATACTTTCAGAAAATAATGACAAATACCTAAAGTATACATTTTTTATAACACTTTATTTTTACATCATTTTGTACATTTTTTTTTCCACCTCAATTGTAATCCCCACGGGTTTCCCTTCACCATTTCACCCGTGTGCCATCACCAAAATCCCGTGCACTTTCCTCCCTCCCTCCTCCCTCCCTCCCCCATTTTTTATCCCATTCCCCACTCCACCCCCACAAAATGTCTCTGGTATATGGTTGTTCATTATTTTTGTTATTTTCTCGCCTGGTCCATTATACTCCTGCTATGAATGAAACCATCTGGTATTTTTCTTTCTCTTTCTGGCTTATCTCACTAAGCATGATCTTTTCCAGCTCCATCCAAGTTGCTACAAAAGACATGTGTTTCTCTTTTTTGATTGCTGAGTAATATTCCATTGTGTATATGTACCACATCTTTTTAATCCAGCCATCTACCCTAAAGTATACATTTATTGCCTAAAGCACGATATGAGGTATGCCTTTTCATCTAACACTATAAAAGTGTCAATTTAATCAAGTTCTTTGCCAACCTTGGTTTGTATCTTCTTACCTGCCACCAGATGGATTGTGCCCAATATACCAAATATTGGTCTTGTGACGGCTGAAGGAGGAATATCTTTCTTGACTTTAAAATAAGAAAAAAAAAAGGCTTAATAATAGAAAGGTAAATTCAGTTTGATTTTAATCGCTACTTAACTAAAAACACACAATTTCTTCTAGGAAAGCAATATTCCTTCACTAGTATTAGACCTTCATTAAGACATAATCTAAAATAAAGATGTCCATATTACAGTAAGAATGTCTAGAAACACTGTCAAAAGGTAACATGCTTCAGCATCCTCATCAAACAGTGTAAATTTTCAATCAAATGTATTCAACTTCCTGCCAAAAACAGTCTTTAGCCCTTTAAGAGAATTTTAAAAATGAATGGAAATGGAGGTTGAGACATGATATTAATCACAAGCTGCAATTAATGGAATGCAAAAAAAGGAAAAAAAAAAAAAGACTTCCCTAACCTTCCCTAACCAAGGCTAAGCATGTGAGAAATGAAGCCATTACTTCCTTTCAAGGGAAGAAGGAGGGAACTAAAGCATCTTCTTCAGATCTCAAAAGTAATTTAGACATATATGGAGGTATCATCATTAACTGTGATTTTATTAATACTGCCCTTCTTAATAAAAAATAAAAAGAGTATTTGTAGATCAGAGGACTCATTTCACAATTTTAAAATAGTTTGCTTCACAAAACATATTTTGGAGAACTTCCAGTTCAAAGAAAAATCCACAAAAGGCAGGGAAGAAGGGCCTCCCGTTAAAGGAGGCTTGCTGGCTGCCTTCCTATTACCTCCATGCCTTCTCTCAGAGTCATGACTCTCAGGAGAGCAAAGGCTCTGTGACGGTCTACTAAAATAAAGCCGTTCCCCTATTTACTTCAAAGTTTCCCAAATTCATGCATAGAGATCTAAGTTTTATCTCAGTCACAGTTTAATACCCTGACACCCACTTCGAAACACTGCTGTGAACACAGTCCTGTTTCTAAAGACAGTCCTGTTATGCTAAATGAAGTGATTCTGACTAAGGTATAAAATTCACTTGTTTCTCTTAATAACTTGATTTACTGAGCAATGCTTTGCCACAATTAACGAATATGAAAAATGGGAATGCCAGTGCAGTGTAAAGCTCATAGAAAATCCTAAACAGGTAAGATCATTTGGCAACTTAAATGTACTGCTGATAGAACTGTAAATTATATTAACTGGAGTTCAATAATAAAATTATAATAATTTTAACAATGTTATTTTTTCATGGAAGGAAAAATAAAGCCCTCTTTCCCTGGCAATGATCTACATTCCCATTGGGAAAAGAAACTGAAAGAGAAACTGTGAGCGAGTCTGCCCCTCATCCACGCCGGCTCCAGGTCAAAGTGTCTTTTCATATGTCTACCGCCTGGGTTCGTCTTACATGAAAACTACTCATAACTAGCTTTGCCCACTCACATGAGTCTGCAATCTCTACATACAATAAAAAGCCACAGAACAGTCAAAAATAATTGAAAAATATAGAGCTTCTATAATATACTACACTGCATTAATATGATATGAAGAAGTAATTAAAATTTGGGAGAAGTTACTAACATCGCTAAGGTCACTCAGCAGCCACCAAGCAACAGACAGAGAAAATGCAGAAGTATTAAACTGAAACAGAGTTCTAATTCCATTTGGTCAAAAGAAAACTATACATGGTTCTTACCAGAATAACCAGGTAACCAAATAAATGAAAATTTTGTCATACCATTCCTACATTTTACAGAAAGACACTCAGACGCACACACTGACATACCTCTGAATATTTCAATTATTACAAGCTAGTTAGAAGTCCTCTCAGACACTTCTAGATATGGCTATGGAATACCTGAGAGGGTAACTTCTGTGGACACACGGTCGACGATGAGTACGTCATCGGCTCCATCATCACAAGCTTCCACATAAAATTTTTCAGGTGTTATATGTCTAGGAAGAAATTTACAGCCATTATTAAATAAAATGAAAATTTCTACAAAATTACCTTAACAATTTCAAAAGTGCTTTAATTTGGCATCATTTTCCCAACTTCTGAGTAAATGAAGCCAATGTCCTTATGCATTGACAGCAACTCTCTCACTTACGTATTTATTGTGATAAGACTTTAATTTTCTACAGACTACCAATTTTACTTATACACGAAAGCCACAGCCTGGCACAGAAGGATAATGCAGCACAGCCCTTGGGAGCACAGTCTACAGAACCAGAATACCTGTGCACCTAGTAAGTGGAACTACTTACTTAATCCCTCTGTTCTTCAATTATCTTATCCATAAAATAAGAAAAATACCAGATTCATGAGATAGCACTGTTACAAGGACAAAACAAGCAACCTTTTGTTTGCTTATCTGCACTTTGATTATCTGACACACATTAAGCAAGACGTAAATATTAGCTGAAAATGCCAAGAAACACATTTTTAATAAAACATTTCCAAGAAATTGTTTTTAAAAAATGATTTTAACAGTGGGTTTTCTTGTTTTATCTGAATGCCACATTTAAGTGTTTCTGAAAAAAACCTGTCATTCTACAAAATGAAAGATAAAGGTAGTAAAGTTAGGATTAGGATCAAATTTTAGATGTATACAAGTTTATAACCAAAGTCTAACAAAAATAACAGCTGTTTCCTTTGGAGATGACTGGTAGCACAAACAAGTAATTTAGTATGGCTGAAGCTGCCTGAGGACGCGTGAAAACTCAACAGAAACAATGTTGTGAAAACGGCAGATTTACAGGTAGTAGAACAAGGTAGGCTGAGGCTCTGTTAAGGTGGGCACAGAACAAAGTACTGTCCTCCCAGACTGTCCAAGGCTAGGGAGAGAAATAGATTTTCCTTTGGTTTGTTTGCTAATTTTTATGGTGCTTAAAGCACATGTGAAAGAATTTCTGTCTGTGTGGGAGTTGCTGAGGGCCACTTATTACACCCCATCTATTCCATTCCCCTTGCCTGTGAAAGATCTTAATAGAAACCCATACAACCATCAGTGATATTTTTAGTAATCATATATAAGCTATTTGGTGTTATAGAAAGGAGTCCTCTAAAATAAAACAATTGTATTAATCATTTTTTACTATACAAGTTCCTCAAGGGATAATCAACCCTTAATTAGCCAAATATACCCTTTTAACTAACTCTTAATATAAGGCAAGTTCTATTAGTAGGGGGAAGGGATATGCGATGGGAATAAAAATCAATTTTACAAATGATGCAAATGCAACAAATAAGACAAATTTGCTTCAAATATGGCAATCTTCAATGCAAGCTAAATATAATAATTCATTCATTTTCGTTGTTGAATAGTATTCCATTGTGGTATAGCACAACTCAGTTGTGTATATAACCATTTACTTGTTGATAGGCATTTGGGCTGCTTCCATCTGGAATATTATTCATGAAGCCTTTTCATAAAGGCTTGTACAACAATCACCCTTACCTAGAGAAGATAAATTCTAAGACCCCCATGGAATGCCTTAAACTGCATCAATAGCCAATCTTATATATACTATTTTTCCCCTGTAGTGCTTACCTGTGAAAAGTCTAATTTATAAATTAGGCACAGTAAGAAATTTACAACAACAATAAAATAGAACAATTATAATGTATATAAATATACTGTAAGAGCAGATGTATGTGTGAACATAGTATGTATGTCTCTCTTTCAAATAGCTTATATGTAATATTTTCAAAATATGAATGACTTTGGGTAACTGAACCATAGTGGCATGTAGCTCTGCTAACAATGCTGACATCTTGATTTTAGCCCAGTAAGACTCGTGTAAAACCAATAGAAACTGACATATACATTTGTGTTAAGTCTCTAAGCTTATGGTGATTTGGAACCACAGCAATAGAAAACTAACACTGAGATTAAATCCCCCCCTTGAATGTAAAAACCTTCACATTAATAACTGGTCAAAACACACCTACAAATATGCACACTTAACCTTCCTGGCACTAAGGAATGAGATGTTTTCCTCATCCGAATTTTCTGATGCCTGGTATTCCTACATGATAAACTCTTTACAATTCTTTTTTTTATTAAGATTTATTTATTTATGCTTACAGAACTGGATTAGAGGCCAGCAGTATAGTGGGTGAGAGGATTCACCAGAAACAGAGTGGGGAGCCGAACAAGCAGATCGACAAAGTACACTGCTGAGAGGAGCAGCCAGCAGGTTAGGAGAGGTCTGCCAGCCATGTGGGTCAGCTCCTTGGCAGGGGGATAGAACTCGTGCTGTCCTGGCTTCAGAGAGCTTCATAATGCAGTGCTTTAACCCACTGCACCACCAGGGAGAGTTGTACAATTCATTTTAGGGAGAGTTGTACAATTCATTTTTAATGGAAAGGCTTTAAATTTTACTAGGCCAAGACAGTTCCTTAGTGCTTCACCTTAATATAAGTAACAACATTCTCTTGACTGGTTAGCATCTAGTTTGGCTATCAGTAAGTAAAAATCTGGATCGTAAAAAAAGGTTCTTCAGCTCCAAATGCAGTCATACCTAGCCAGGACTCGCACCACCAACCCCCAACCCTCCTTTTGGGTCCCACTGGGTTATTCCTGGAGTACTCTCTTACAGCCGGGATTCATCTCAACACTACCTAGGAGCCTAACCCTATTCAACCCCAGCTTATATTTGTAGGAAGTCAGTTCATCTTAATTCCACTCTCTTTTAAAAAACCTCTAGGTTCTATCTACTTCCTACCTGCTTGCTATACATCCTAAAACCCATTCTCTCCAACAGCCACACTCCTTTATGGAACCAGGCTAACAGTCACCTAGTCTGGAGCCACAGACAATCTTCCAGAACCACAGGCCCTCAAAAGAAGGCTCTTTTACCAACACGATCTATACTCATTCAGCATCACCTATCCCTAAAAATGCCGTTTTGGGGTATAAAGAACTACCAGGGCATCTGATTAAACTTTTGGATTCCTAGACCCCACCTCCAGAAGTTCCACTTAGCAGATACATGTAGGGATCTGGAATATGCTTTTAAGGCAAGCACCACCACCTTAGGTAAACTCCCTAACTGATGGTCCCCTTGCTTTTGCACCCTTAAAGCCCTTCTAGTTCTAACTAAGCTGTTAAAAAGGTGTCTAAAAGTCATACAGCAACTTATTCAGTTTTGCTGGTTCTTTTCCATGGATACAGGAGCTACTCATGCTATTAAACTTCTTTTGAACTAAAAAAATAAAACAAGCACAGCAAGTGACCTAATGCAGCCTAGTACTAACCTGGACTCTAAACTGAACCTCCATCCAACTCAAGTCTTAGACACAAGTCAACTGCATCTGTGCCGAAATTTATAGACTAAATCTTAGCTTCCTTCCACCCTTCCTTGAAGAGAGCTGTGTGAATAATGTGAATGTTCACTGTACTAGACAGACTACATATGTGCTCATCACAGTATAGCTTAGTTTACATCTGTTTTCAGGGTTACATCAAATCTGTCACAACTGACCTCACAGCTATGATCACAACACAGGTTACTTACTAACAGTAGAAACAGTGAATCAAGTAGCAAGCCTGATTCACTGCATAGAGGAATCCCTACGTTACACCTATTTCACCTCACCATTTAAAAGAAAAAAAAAATGCTTTAATATTTCCAATAACGTATTTCTGTTGTAATTTAAAATCTATCACTATCTGACATTATCCATGCACACACAAATGGTTAAAAAAGGGGGGGGTCACAAAGTAGGATATTTAAAATTATGGATGTTTCAAAAATATGGATGTTTCAATTCTGAATCACAATCTTAATTTCCATACTAAAAATCCACAGATTTATGTCAATTTTTCAATTATAAGTGACTCATTTTCCTACCAGACATATGTGAGATAAAGGCTAGAACAATCTGATAAGAGAAAAAAAGGTAATTTAATGCTGCGTAATGGAAGGATCACTGAGCACTGGGCCTGGCCAGTGGTGTTCTCCAAGGCCAGTTCTGCTATGGCTTGGCTATCTGATCTGAACGTGGAACCAGAGTCAATTATTTCCTTATCTTCAACAATGATGGAGGATGAGCTCACAGAAGCAATGAAAATAATATACATTAAAAGACTTAAGCTGTTGCTACTTCACAAGATTACTAATTTACCCCAGACTATTCTTTCTGAAGTACTGGTAGGTGTTCAACACTTCTTTTTATTTATTCAGGTGATTCTCTGGAATCTGCTCTGAAAAGGTTTTGTGCTAGGTATTGAGGAGCACTGGAGGGGAAATCAATGTTAAGATGTTTGTAAGATGTTCCATATATTTGCTACCTAGTTGGAGAAACAAAGCACTACACTGGTGTGAAATAAAGTTAGGGGTTAGATTGTGAGGAAACTAGAACACAGATGAGTAAGAAATGGGGGTTTCAACCTCTAGGTCAGTCAGAGAGGAGAGCAAAAAATTAAACCAGGGCTGTAAGAAGGTGAACTTCATAGTGCTGGGGAAAACGTATGACATAATATAGAACAAATTATTTAAAATCCCAAGTACTTTAATATTTAAATAAAACCAGCAGTCATACTTTTGCAACAAATTATCTCTTTAAGGTCTTTTTAAAAGCACACCTTTAGGTATCTATCCTGTCTGCGAATTAATTTGACATGGGTCAGAAACCACTTCCACATCCAAATGCATGTAAAAAAAAAAAAATACTCCTTAGGTGGGAGGCCATATTTAAAAACTTTAAACTGCATTTAAAAACTGAGCCAAAGAGCAGGAAGAATCAAAAAGAAGCAATAAGAACAAAACCTGCAATTCACAAACTCCTTAGTACAGAAAAAGTTGCAAAAAACGTTTTATCTTCCCATTTATAGAAGCACTCAAAACATTTTCCAGGGAAAAAATTAAGGAGTCATAAATTAGAGAATGACTTTTACACAACTCCATATCTACCTTCTCATCCAAACAAGCTGTTTCCACAACTCACAAAATCAATACAAAAGCATCAGCCTCACCACTTAAGGGCACTTGTCTTCTATTTTAGGGAGCGAGAGCCCAACCCCCACCCCATGGTGAATTTAGGGCTTCCTTGGCAGCTCATAAACAATCATAACTCTTAAATTCTCCACCCCATTCAATCTTTGCCACAGGAAAATTCAATTGCATCTTGTAACCTAACGCTAAGCTGCATTAAGCCAAGGTTCCATATTGTTTAAACACATTTGAGACCTGGTGTAGGATCATCTTAAACTCTTTAGTGACTATCAGGTAGACAGCAATGCCCTCATGAGCCAGCAGAGCACACGTGACTCTGGCCTGGCTAGTCTTCTAGTCAAAGACACTTTGATGAACCCATTCACCAACAAGGTGATCACCTTGCAAAGAGGCTGGGAGAGAATAAGGAAACCTGGCAAGGAAAATATGGGGGGAAGAGAGTAGCTGAGTTTTCAAAGAAAATTAAGTAAACAGAAGTTGCAAAGGGAGTGAGCTAACAATCCATTTCTCCCCAAAGTATTTGATGTGGATGACTTCACTCCCCATCATGTACCCCAACTTTAACATGAACCTTCCAGAAAGTTAAGTGGACTTGTTCTGGGCAGGACAGAGGTGCACAAGGCCACGTTTTGCTGTCCTCATATGCTTGCAAAAGGAAATGTGGTAGCTAGGCATGAAGATCAAGATATTTTAACTTATTTAGGGTGTTTGCTTTGGCAGCGCATCTACTACAATTAGCTATATAACTAGGAATGGGTAAAAGCTCAAAAATTACATCTGTTTCTGTTCTCAAAGACACAGTCAGACTACAGCCACTGGTTTTTCCGTCTAGAGATAAAATATCAAACAAATTGAGTAGAACCAAGTTATTCACAGACAAGAAAAGTGCAGGGGATGATGCTAAGGGAAATACATGTTTTTATTTACCCAGAACAAGCCAAAAACTCTACAAATACCTAATTTACGATTCTAACAACCAGGGTCTATATCTCAAAGCCTCCAGAACTTGGCTTTATTTTAAAGTCAAAATGCAATGCCAGAATTCTCCAGCTTTATACTCGAGCTGTATAAAAGTTAAAAGTCTAGTAAGTCTTGCAAGATTTTAACAGTAATCTCTGGGTTTTTTTTTTAACATTCTTTTCCCCTGGCATCTTAAAGAATGGTCGGGTAGGCTGGATGCCCAGAGAGCGAAAGCTGTGTCAATTTGTGTTTGGGTTCTAAAAGGGTGCTACATGGGTTCGTTAAATAAGGGAGGTGGGGAGAGGACATTTCTGTCTTTCTCTAATAAGCTATAAGGACACACTGCGCTGTCACTTCTCCAAAGAGAAAAGGAAAGTGGGGAAAGCGTGCCCTGCAGGCTGCAACCAAACGCCGACCCCAGTTCGCGTCGGCCCGTCGCGGCGTCGCCGTCCCGCCCGGACGCTGAGAAAGACTCCGGGGAGAACGTCGCTCCCCGGCCTGTGGCGACTCGGGCGTGGCCCTGGCGCGGCCGCGACCAGCAAGAACCCGGACGGGCCACGCGAGAGGCTCCCACACCGGCCCGGCGCCGCGGGACTCCGACCCCTCCCCGAGGCCGGCGGCCGCACCTGCCGCCCCGCCGCCGCCCTCAAGCCCTGCGGGTCCACGACCTCCAGCCCGCGGGACTCACAGCTTCAGCTGTCCGTAGATCGTCGCCGCCATCCTGCACCACCACCTCTTTCCTCTTCACTCGCCCGCCCCGCCCCGCGCCGCCACCTCCGCTACAGCGCTACCGGTCACCCTGGCTCGGCGGCCGCAGCGCCGGGCCGGCCCCACCTCTTGCCCCGCCCCGCCCTGTTCGAGAGCAAACGGGAGGCGGCCACGGACAAACTTAGTGCGCGCGCTCGAGTTTGCGGTAGGCGGTGTCTGAGGCGGTGGGTTGGAGGGCGCCGGGGAGCGCCATGACGTCGCCGCTGCGCATTGGCTGCGCGCGTTGGATGGGGAAGAGACCGAGCGCGGGGACCTGTGGGTCGGGGGTGGGGGGCGGCCCGCTGGGGCGGAAGTGGAACTCCTCTGTGCGAGACTCTTGAAGTTGCGTAAGAGATGACCTCCGCAGCAGCGAGCTATCAAGCAGTACGGGGCCAGTGGCGCAATGGATAACGCGTCTGACTACGGATCAGAAGATTCTAGGTTCGACTCCTGGCTGGCTCGAGGCGTACTTTTTTATTGGGCCAGGTTCGGGCTTGATGTTACGTGTTAGAAAGCACTATGGCTAGGATGTGACGGTTGAACCCCTCGAATTTTAACACGACTTTACCCAAAATGTCATCTCTTACGTTGTATTTGGAACCCGACATTGGTGAGGCGGCTGTCAGTAGCAAAGCGTCCTACTCAGGACGCACAGTAGGAGTCTGTACAAACGTTGTGTGTGGGAAAACCCCGGAACGGCGCAGTTGGAAGTGGGGTTTTGTCCACTTCAGACTGCCCGTGTCCGGAGGTGACCTGTCGCGTGACATAAAAGCGCGTTTAGGGCCAAGAGCTGCGGCCTCTATTCCGGCGCGGCGGAGCCGGGCGCTGACTGCAGAGCGGCCGGCCTCAGTCCCGCGTCGGAGTGGGCGCAGCTCTGACCGCCGGCCAAGGGCACGCGGCAGTGCGGCTGCGCACCTGGCGGGGTCCACAGCCCATCTCCGACCTCCGGGTGCCGGGGCCCCCAGACTCCAGCAGGAAACCTTAAATGAGGGTGTTTCCACAGTAAGAAGACCCCGTAAATCCAGTATGCTGGTCGTCGTTGTGGAGACGCCTGGGAAGGCCTGACACGTCTGCGAGGAAAGGGGACTCGAACCCCTGCCCATTAGGCATCATCCATTCATCAAGCCACCATAAACATTTTCGTCCGAGAAAATTATGAAAGATCTGGAAAGTACAGAAAATTACTAGGAATAAAAGTAACGCGAATCACCGTCCCGAAATCACTTTTTTTCCTTGTGCCTTTCCTTCCACACCTTTAACTATGGATATATTTATAAAGCGTTTTTTCCAAATTTGGGGTTGTATCAGAAATCGTGTTTCCATATGCCAATTTAATAGCCTTTCATGGAGACAACAGTTAAAGCAGTTTATGTATTTTTACACAGAAAATACACATTAACAAGCTCTTTTAAAATGTTTACACCCCTCACTTTGTTGTTTCATTTGTTTGTTTTAACCATATAGTGATTTGTTGTTTCTTTGCATTTCCAGTAACTTGTATTTGTTGTTAAGACCTTGTACCTGTATGTGTATATCTCTTTTACTGGCTGAAGTATGCACATAATTTGTATGGTATTTTGTTGAAATAATGTAATAGTGGAGAGCAATATTAAAAGAAAGAATATTATATTAAAAGAAGAATAAATGTTTTCATTTGTTCCCTTAACTTTGAGATTTAAGGTCATTCAGAATTATGCGAGGATAGCCCAGTAGAGAAACAGATGTTTTAAGCATTATCCTTTTGTTGGGAAGTTGGGTTGTCACTTTAATTTTTTCAAAATAAAACCTTGTTGAATTATTTCTGATGTCATCAGGCAGACTTTTTCCATTTCATGAACATTTTACAAAGACTTGGTACATATTCAAATTGTCCGCCAAAATACATGTCCATCAACTGCAAGTTTCCTTGCACCACACTATTCCAAGTTTCATCTGCCAGAATCCATGAAACCACGGCATGCCAGCTTATCAGTGTGCAAAAAGGGTGAAATCCCAGCGCCTTCAGTTTTGATACCCGTGTGTTCCTTTAGGAATCCCTCTCTCTAAAAGTCTAAATCCAGTTAGCAAAAGGACTGCCTACATACTGACACACACAAAAGACCCAAGAAACATCATTATGTTGGAGAACGATTTAATCATCTACAGATTGATGCAGTTTTATTGTCATGATATTCTGAGTAATTTTACAGGAAGTAAAATTTTGAATTATTTGATAGTCACAATAGTTTGAAGAAAATTGATACTAAAATTTTGAATTTCATAGTAAAAGAGACGTAGAGGAAAATAATTTCCCTGAACAGTGAAATTTTCACGTACTATATGGAAATTTCCCACATCTGTCCAGTTCTGGCTCAGAACAAAAGATAGCTAATATATTTACTTATTTTCCCCCTACTTTTTAAAGTTTTACCTCTAATAGTAACTGAGAAATTAGGACTTATTTCTGGCAAAAAAAAAAAAAGAGAGAGAGAGAGAGAAAGAGCGAGAATACAAGGAATTTGGTTAACAAGTGCATCAAGCATTCTTCTTCGATGGGGTCCCAGCAGTCAGCATGGGCATTTATGTTCCCAGGTGTGGAAACAGGCAGACAAACAGGCTGCAAAAGACTCCGAATTCCAAATACAGCTGACCTTTGAACAACTGGGTTCAAGGGCACGAACCCTCAAAATTGAAAATTCACATGTAATTTCGACTCACCCAAGTTTAACTACAGTTGTCTGTTGGTATCCATGGGGGGTTGGCTTCATGATACATACACCCTCCCCGAGACTGCTCAAGTCCCTTACAGTGGGCCCTCCGTCTCCATGGCTCTGCATCCTTGAGGTCCACCAACAGCAGTGTTGGGCATCTGCATCTGAGGATGCAGAACCTGGGACAGAGCCAAATCCACATGTGAGGGGACTTGCACAGTTGAACCGTCAGCTACGACTATCTCAAATCCTAACGCTGGTTTTTCATTGTTTAAGTGTGACTCAGGCCACGGAAACAAGGCAGTAGCCACAGGTCCCTCAACTATCCCATCGGCCACCCAGGGCAAAGTCACTGATGCGACTGAAGGCTTTTATTTCCAGCACTGACCATGGAGGAATGGAGCACTCGATGACAGACGGGGAATAGCGAGGAGGGAGTGAGACAGAGAGAAGGCCAGGCAGGAGGGAAGAAGGGGAAGAGAATCCTGAGGTAGCAAGCCAAATAGGGTTTTTGGCTTATCTCAGACCACGTAGGCAGCTTTTTAAGGTTTCTAACGGGGCAGGGGGAGGAAGGGAAGGAGAGACAAGAAAGAACTACAGGGCAAAATGAGGCCAGGGAAGAGGCTCGGCCCGGAACCAGGCTATCTGTAATTCTCTTCATGGTATAGAGTCTAAAAGTTGTCTAAGGAACTAGGGAAAGGCTATTTGCTCTAAATTTTAAAACAAACTGACTCACCCTGCCAGGTGCTTGTAATTCTTTTCTAGGTACCTATAAATACCACCCCATTACAATTCTATTTGGCTAATAACTTATAGAAAGTTTAAAATACCAGGTAATGGAGAGCTTTACATGGCTTTTGTGCAAGCGTTTGAGGAAGAGATAAAACTGGTGCATGATTCCTACCTGGTGTCCCCTCCTGCTGTGTCAGTAACAAGAGAAGCTGCTGCTTGGATTTCTTGGGTGTCTAGAAAATTTGATCTTCTTCAACAATACAAAAAGTCAGATTTGCTGAGCCACCTGAATCGCCTTTAAATTTTCATTTAAAAATCTTAAAGGAAACATTTAAATTTTCATTCAAAAAATTAATCAGATTTTAAAACCAGCAAATTACTGAACTCACAAACAAATCCCTGCTACTTCTGGCAAGGCAGTTTTCTTCAGCCTACCTGACCTGAGAAAGGTGTGTCAGCAAGGCCAGAAACATTCCCAGGATGGCAAAGACAAGTCAAGACCTACTGGCTGGCTTCCTGGCTAGCAACTTGCCAGGAAGAGGGGGCAAGCCCAGGCTCACATCCCTGGTCTCGCGCACTCATGGCTTTCAGGAGCCTCAGCCCTTAAAAAGGAACCAATGAAAGTCTGCAGCCCCGGCTGAAGAGTCATCTGGCCAAAGGAGTCCAACAGAATACATTTAATAAAAACGGAAAGGACAGCCAGCAGTGCCAATGTTGTACTGCTTACAGCAATACTGCCAACTGAGCCAGCTCACAGCCCAGAGTGGAGCTGGGGCCAGTGCAAGGTCTGCGAGTCTCCTGTTTCTTGGGTTCCACTGACTAAGCGTGGGGGTGCCCGACACCCAGTTCCTTTGCTGCTGGTGTAAGGTGAGGACACGGAGAACACGCCAGGTGCCATGCTATGCCTGCCTGGCAGCAGTGAAACAGGCCCCTCTCACTGCAGCAAGGCTCTGGGACGCTCCCCACAGGCTGAGAAGGGCAAATGGTGGCCAAGTTTTGTTTTGTAACAGCTTCTTCTCACTCAAATACCAACAGATATTCACCTCTGGTAGGTTCTGCCTCAGTGCAAAGGCAGCCTCGCCACTGTGTTCAGTCCAGGCCACCTGGGGGGAAGCAGATGAAATGCAGAAGGCAAGGACACCCAGTTTCAACTACACCTATTCCCCACTGACCTTTAGCTAAATTACTGAGCCCTGAACTGCTGAGGTCTGGCCTGTGTAAAGCCAGGGCCTCCTAAACCACCAAGAAGCCATCTGAGTCCAGAGTGATGGACAAATTCCTCCTGAAACTGTGATTTGGTGAAGCTCTTGTCTGTGAGGTATTTTTTTGCGTGTGGAAGACTGAAAGTGGAGGGAAACAACTTTTTTCAAAAAGAAAAAAAAAACAGATAAAATCTGTGTACCTTGGTCTCTTCAAACATAATGCTTGTGCCAAGAATTGGGCAAGAGAGAAACCTGTGACATGAGTGTAACCACTTACCCTGAGGTACTCCCTCCCAAGCTGGCTTAAGAGATCTCTCACACACAAACTCTCCTCATTTCCAAGGGGCTAGCTCTCAGTATGTAGACAGGACTTCCCCAAGCCCATGAAGTAAGCTAAAACAGGCACACAAGATATCCCCACGTAAGATCCTGAGACTTGCCTTAGTAAGAGGACTCTGAAGTCACAGACTCCAGAGAGCTCCAGAAAGGGGGGCAGAGGACGGATGCAAACAGGTGGGCAAAAAAGCCTGGTGCCTGCACCAAGTTCTTGTCCCAAAGCACACGCTGCTAAGACGGGGGAAATCTCTGTTAGTCCTCAGGCTGCCTCAAAGGGAGTAAAGATTTGCAAGAGGACACAGAATTGTTGTCAGTATGTAGGAGGAAGCCCTGTCTCACTTATTTCAAAACCTGCCTCTGATTTTGAGTAAATTTTTGCTAAGATACAGAGAACATGCTAAAACTTCCTTTCTGCAATGATGAATTAAGAATTGCAGCTTACTCTACACAAGGACTGAAGCTCTGGAGTAGAAAGGTCTTAAATCATGGTGGCCTTGCAGGGGTTAGGGAGCTTGGGTGCAGGTCTTTTCTTAAAGGCCAGGGAGAGGGTAGAATAAATCAGCAGCTGATACTGCTACAGAGGACATTGTGAAATCTGTCAGTGCAAGCCCCCCCTCCCTGGACGTGAGCTGTTTCTAGAACAGAGGGCAGGTTCACTCCGTGGCTCTGATGCAATCTCCGGCCACAGGCCACGCACTCTGCTAGAGATCTTCCTGAGAGATCTGATGGGAGTGGCGGCGGAGAGAGGCACTGGGAAAATACACACGCCAGAGGGTGGGGTTCACCTCTGTGGTTACAGAAAAGGGATCCCTTGCCAGCCTCCTCCCACCCCCCAAACTCCACTCTAGGGGCCACTGGAGTAAATTAGTGGATTTCTGTTGTGCAACGCTGGCTTCTTGTCCGGGGCTGTCTGGAAAGGCTCTGGTTAGAAGTGGTGCTGGTGCAGGGCCGTGGGCCCGGGGCCTTTCTCCAGCCTCTTGACGTGGCAGGAACGGCAGAGCAGGTGGTCTTCCAGCGGGTAGCAGCGGTGGCCATCTTCATCATTGAGCTCCAGACCGCAGTCCTAGGGTGAGGCAAATGCCCAGCAGTTGAAATGTGTGACAGACAGGACTACAGGAAAGCCAGAGCCCCAGAAGCCAGCAGGGGGCGTTCTGTGGTTCTGAGGGGGCAGAAACACACAGCGGCTGTCCTGCACAAACCCTAAGTCTTGGTCCTTCTCCAGAACCCGAAGTGGGACGGAGACCTGACATGGAAAGTCAGTTCCACATCAGTTCACCAAGATTAGCTCAAAATGAAGATGGAAAATATCTTGTGAAAAAGATTTTACATTCACTGTACGCTGAAATGGTTAACACTTTGGGTATATCGAGTGAAATAAAATATCACAAAACTAACCCACCTTTTCTTTGACCTTGTTAAAAATGTAGCTGCTAGACTGCAGGTGGGAATGCAAACTAGTACAACCACTATGGAAAACTGTTTGGAGGTTCCTCAAACTGCTAAACATGGAGCTTCCTTATGCCCCAGCAATCCCACTCCTAGGTATCTACCCAAAAGACACAAAAACACTGATTGAAAAAGATACCTGTACCCCCATGTTTATTGCTGCTTTATTAACAATTGGAAAAACATGGAAGCAACCCAAATGCCCAAAAGTAGATGACTGGATAAAAAAGATGTGGTACATATATACAATGGAATATTACTCAGCAACCAAAAAAGAGAAACACATGTCTTTTGCAGCAACTTGGATGGAGCTGGAAAAGATCATGCTTAGTGAGATAAGCCAGAAAGAGAAAGAAAAATACCGGATGGTTTCACTCATAGCAGGAGTATAATGGACCAGGTGGAAAATAACAAAAATAATGAACAGCCATATACCAGAGACATTTTGTGGGGGTGGAGTGGGGAATGGGATCAAAAACGGGGTGGGGGGAGGGAAGTGCATGGGATTATGGTGATGGCACAGGGGTGACTTGGTGATGGGAAACCCACGGGGATTACAATTGAGATGGAAAAAAAAATGTACAAAATGATGTAAAAATAAACTTTTGTAATAAAAATAATTATTTTTAATAAAAAAAAAAATGTAGCTGCTAGAAGATGAAACCGCACACCCGACTTGAAGCTGTCCTTTGTTACTACAGGGGGTGCTGCCCCACATGTGTGGAAAGTGCCCCCAAGTGTTCTCAACTTTTTCTTCAGGCCCCTGGGGTACCGTCAGCTGGCCTCTACCACCCCTCCACATCCCCCACACACACCCCTCTGGCCTATACCCTAACTCTTGTATGCATAAATAAACACGTCTTTAAAAGAGAAGAGTAACTCCCTCCTGTCTCTTCAGTGCCAGCAGTGGATCAAGCTATACTCGCTCACACCCTCTATCCTGCCCCGCAGGGTACAGCTTCACACGACAAGACAAAGCTGCGATCCTTTCAGAGGTGACTCCACTTAATTCTGGCTGCATCTCAGCAACAAGCGTGGGCTTGTCGATGATCATGGGGCCTCTGACCTGCGGTGTGACGTGGGGCAGAGAAGGGGCACGTGGGCCCCAGGCACCTGCACGCAGTGACGTGCCTGTTTCCAGAGAGGGTTTTTTCATGACTTCTAGGATTCAGCTGAGAAGGGCTTCCTGGCCGAGGAACGCCTACAGGCTGTGGTTGGAAGGAGTCTACTCCCCAAAGCACACACCGGCCTGACAGCCTGGCCCTGCCCACGCTGCCTGCCCTGACCTCCTGTTGTACAGCGTCAGGAGGGCAGCTGTGACGGCTCAAGACTTGGCAGTTATGAATGTGGAGAAGACAGAAAAGGCCTTAAAACCCCAAACATCTACAACCTTGCCGCCTCCCTCCCAAGAGGTTCACCCCGCTTCCTCCACTTGCCCTGGAGGGCGGTCCCACACCCCACTAAGCGGGAGCACTACTCTCTAGGGCCTCAGCGCCAGGCCTCGGGCCCGCAGGGAGACCTACCTCGCAGTGGTAACACTCCACGTGGTAGTCTCTGTCCATGGACACGACGCGGATGGTCTCATCTGAGCCCTGCAGGGAAGGGAAGCAAGAAGCAGGGGTCAGTGAGGGGCCCACAGGCGCCACGTGCTGGACGGGCCAGTGCGGGGTGGGGTCGGGGGACGGTAATAAGCAGGCACCCTGAGGACGGGAGCAGAGACAGAGGAGCAGGTAGCGCGTGTAGGACAGGACACATCTAGCTGACCGGAGGAAAGAGGAGGACCGCGAGCCTACCTGAGTCAACTCTGAACAAAACACCTATGTGGACATATATTTCTTAAGAAATGAATAGAAGACGAGGTTTCTGCTCACCATCTAGTCTAGGAGTTAGCGCCATTGGGAGAGTCTGACCTGATTATAGTCAATAGCGCATGAGGAGGACAGCGGGCTGGAGAAGCCAGAGGACCAGAAAGGAGCTTCATGGTGACCACACAGGATCTCAGAGTTGAGGAAGAACTCTCAGGAAGAGTTCTTTGAAGATGTAAGGACAGGACGCAAGGCGTGTGCTGGGACCCCTGAGCAACATTCATGTCTTACCACACCCAGGAGCAGGTCTGAAAGGCATCTTACCTCGGCTGGAAGGATGGGAAGCCCACAGGCTGCACACTTGGGGGCCAGCACCCTGGGAAGAGCAGAGAAGCGGCAAACTGTGTTGTGCAGTTTCTGGGAGGCTGGGCCAGGACAAGACTTGCGCCTGGACCTTCCCAGAGCCTTCCTCTCTGGCCCAGTCTCTGGGAGAGAACGTGACCAGCTGAATCAACGTGAAGTCAGGTAAAGCTGGAGCCACAGGGCTTGGCCAATTGCTCCTGAGGCTTCTGGAATCGGATTATAGGGTTTTTGTTGTCTCGTCTGTAAACACAATTCCCTTGCTAGATCTTGTCTGCAGAGAAGTGGCCTCCCATAACCATTAAGACGTGGACTAATGGTCCCAGCAGCCCGCAGAGGCAACCATTGGTTTCCAGCTTTCACTCCACTGACCTTCCGTCTGCCCGGCCTGCCATGCAGCACCCCACCAGCCCTGTCCTCCTTACTTGTGATAATCGCGGACACAGTAGATCTTGTCCTCTGAATCCACAGTAAAGGGCACCCCATCCAAACACTCGTTACAGATGACACAGCGGAAACAGCCAGGGTGGTAGGACTTCCCCAGGGCCTGCAGGATCTGAGGGCAAAGGAAGAGGCGGTGCCCAGTGAGGAACAGATGCGTGGGGCAACAGCAAGGGACAGCACATCAGGCTGCAGGGACACACCCACCCAGAGCACAATCCCTGCAGTGGACCGGGGTCGACGTGACAGGAGGGAAAGGCTGCCTAGCCAGCTGCCAGCTGCGGACACAGGTTCCTTCTCCAGTATTTCCTAAGGTTCCGGGAGGGAACTTTAAGGGCTACTGCTCAAAATACTTCTACAGCTCTTTGCAGGAAACGATGCAAAGCAAGGCAAGGAAGGGGCCCAGGCCAGATTTGGGAAAGAGCCAGAACCTGGAAAGATGAAAGGAAATTCCACATGGAAATGACAAGGCAGGGGGCCCCTCTGAGTTCTGGCTCCTGGATGTCCCTTTCAGCAGCTTTGACTCTGCAGCGGGATAATCCAGAAGCTTTGACTCAGCTCCAGATGATCTCAAATTTCAGCGTAAGCACAACTTTTTGTTCTGTCTCAAACACAGCAAAGAGAAAACCCACAACCCTCTTCCTCCCAGTGTCATTTGGTCTGTCTGTGACCCCTGGGCCAGGCAGAGCTGAGACGCCAAGGGGCGGGAGAAAGAAGAGATGGAAAGAACGTCCTTGTTTATGCCAGTGAGTAACCACACTAACACCACCTGCTAGCTCCAGGCCTCTGGTGGGCAAGATGAAGGTCCCCTTGGTGAGTCAGTGGACCTCAGAGTGGCCCCTGCACCTGTACTCTCAGCAGCACCAGGGAACACCTTAGAAGTCATTCTCAGGCCCCACCCAGCTCTCCCGAATCGGACACCCTGGTGGGAGGCCGAGCAGATGACGTTTTAACGATTCCTACACAAGTTAAAGTCAAGAACCTCTGGTTTGGGTTAAAATAAAGGTTTGTTGTTGCTTTTGGGGGGGGGGGTAGGATGTGGTTGAAACAGCTCCGCTGCTCAATGAGATTTCTTTCTGTCATTACCTGTGCCATGAAACTTAACACAAATGTGGAGTAGGAGACCAGCGCCAGCCGCCCATCTGTGAGGAGTGCTTAGAACCGTCATCAGCATCCCTGAGGGGGCTGCACAAAAGCCCCTCAAACAAGCAGAGGGAGCTGAGGAAAGCCTGGTCTGTGAGACCCTGGGAAAGACAGGCTGCTTTGGCTCCTCCCCAATGCCGCCTCCGGGGGCGAGACCACGCTGTACGCCCTGCCGCCACGGAGGGGCCCGGCGCGCTGCGTGGTGGTCTGGCTCTGGTGGTCTGGCCTTCCCCCGACAACTCAGCTTTCAAACCTCCCCATTTCCTCTGGGGCCTCACTAACCTCCGAGGCCATCTCAATCTGCTCTAGCTGCTCAGACAGGAAGAACGACCGGCTGGGCTTCCAACAGTCCACCTGGCAATCTGGACCCCTGGACTAATGTGTCTTGGCAAAAAGGAACCCTTAAAATGAATCTAACCGCACTGTACCAAGAGCATGGAAGGGTAAAGATGCCACCTGTGACTAGCTGTACTAATTTGCTCTAATGTGGAAAAACGCCCAGTTCCAACTTGCACATCCAGAGCTTTCTTCTCTGTTAGCAAAGGAGGGACCAGACTACTGACACACAGCATTGCACAATGGGGTTGGCATCTGAACGAAGCTCTGCCTTATTATGATTCCTGCTGGCAGGTAAGGGTTCTGTTTTGGAAACTTTAAACAGGGAGTCGCTGGGAATTTTCAGGTCTTAGAGAAGACTGGCAAGTATCCAAGTTCAACTTCACCTTATCCTGTGCGGTAGAAAGAGGTGGTCTCCAAAACTCGACTCCTTCCCTACTTGGATGCACAGGTCAACTGTCACTTCAAAAGGTGGAGAATAACACAGCACCCTCCAACCCCCTCACCATGCCCTTAAGGCTCATCTTGGACTTTTTCGATCAATAGAATGAAGAGGAAATGATGTTTTGAGATTTCTCAATCAAGGACCTAAGAAGACAGGCAACTTCCTTTCTACTCTTTTGCTGAAAGGAAATCAAGGTAGACCGCTGAACAGCATTTGTGGCAACACAGCGAGAGGCCTGGAGGGTGAGGGGTCACATTGGATGTTCCTGGATGTTCAACTCTACCACCAGTGAACACAGCTGAGTAAGTGACCTCAACCAACGCCACACAAGCAGGAGAATCACCCTGCCGAGCAAGCCCTGACCTAATTCCAGACCCACGGAATCTTCACAAATCTGCAATTACAAAGGCTGCAAACTTCTGCATCTTAGGGAGGTTTGTTGTGCAGTGGCAGATATACGGAATGCCTTGAGACCCAAAGAAGGCTTAGGGCACCCAGAAAGAAGAGGGTTCATGTTCATATGTTTGGGCACTTTGACAATGGGCTGCAGTAAGCTTGTCAGAAGAATTCTAACAGCAAAGGCCTGTTCAGCTGGAGAAATGGAACTGAGAGTCTGGCAGGCACAGGGGTGAGTGTGAGTGGTTCCCGCCTGCCTCCCCTGGGGCGACGGGTAGGTGGCCCTGTTCCCAAGATGGCCTGATCACTAGTGAGGACACAGCTCTCCCGGGCCAAGGTCTGCAGTGGGATCATGAATAAAGAGGCCTCTGGTCCTCTTGTTTGATCCATGTTAGTCTAAAACCAGCAGGAACATGTGTTCATGTCCATCAAAGACAAGCATAGAATGTTCACAGCAGCTTTATTCATAATCAGAAACTGGAAACCACCCAGATTCTCACCACAGGACAGAAAGACAGCTTTACCATTCAACGGAATTCTACTTAACAATGAAAATGAATAAACTTCTGACACAAGCAACAACATAGATGAATCACAAAAACGCAGGCCCAGAGGACTCTAGACTATATGATGCCATCCGTATAAAATTTCAGCATCTGTGAAACGAATCTGGGGCAACACAACGAGAGGGGTCTTGACTGGGAGGTGGACAAGAAGGAACTTTCTGGGCTGTGGGGTGTGAGGAATGTTCTACATCTTGATGTTGGTGGTGGTTACATGAGTATACACACATGTAAAAATTCATTTGTACACTCACGGTATGTGCCTTCTGTTCTGAATTGTTTTTTAGTAAAAAGGTAAAAGAAAAAAATAGCAATGGTCAACAATTTCCTACTGATAATGGAATAGGTAAGTTTAGAGAGAATTTAACTCTTTCCAACTAAAAGGGTGCGATATGATCATTTTCCCTGACCAGAATAAATCTCAAGGGTGCATCACCAATAGTGAAAAATTTGAGGAAGAGCTCTGTATTCATTAACACCCCCACCCTGGCCCTAGGAGAAGGCCAGGAAGCTGGGATAGAAACCATGCCCCCACCCACCCCAGAAGAAATCAAGACACTGAGGCCCAGACAAGCTCGGAGCCAGTGGCTACCTGAAGAATTGAACATATAAAACCTGCTCCTTCGTCTACTGTCTCAGGACTAACTAAAGCCCCAGCACCCACTTTAGGAAGGAACTGAGCTGGACAGAACTTGGGGAGAAAATAATCGCTTATCTTTTTGCATCTGTCTCCAACGTAACAGATTTCTGAAATAAAAACAGACTCATCTGGCATCTCACCTGGGATACCGCAAGGATTACAGAAAATTAGGTGCAGGCCAGTGAGATCCAACACGCCACAGGAGGCGGCGGCGCCAGACAGAGGTGAGGGACGCCGCCAGCCAGGAAAGCCAACCACCGGGTTCTGCCGCACAGGCAGGCCGAGCGGACGAGGAGCCAGCCGCAATCACAGGCAGAGCGGGAAACACTGTTCTCAGAGAGGAATTCTCTCGGAACGGCTCCCCGGCCACCAGGAATTCTGGTCAGCTGACGCTACTCACCATGTCCATGATCAGGTGGCCACAAAGAAAGCACCTGTCAGCAGACTGCTGGAAGCCCGAGTACTGCAGGGGAGAGGAGAAGAGAGTGAAAGCCAGCAGGGGAGAGGAATCCAACCACCTCCCTCCCAGCCCATCACGTGGATTACAATTCTTGGAGACATGTGTCACTGGAATCTGTTGCTTCCCCAAGGACAACAAAGCTGTGTGATGAACCAGGGGACAGCTGTCCTCTGTCCCAAAGTCACTGCAAATACTAGTGCCACTCGCGCGGCTGTGAGCTGCGTCTGGGCAGTCGTGGCACGCCAGGCTCCGTGTGAGGGGCTGCGCAGAGAGAGGCTTCACCTTCAACCCAGTGGTTGCCAGAGAGGAGTTCCCTGGCATCACCTGGGAACCTGTAAGGAATGCCAACTCTCGGGCTGCCCCTACACCAACCTACTGAATTGGAAGCTCAGGCTCGGCCCCAAAATCAGTATTTTTAGAAGCCCTTCAGGGTATTCTGATGCAAGCATAAGAATAAACCCATTGTTCCAATTCCGTAAAATAATTCTTCACTGAAATTATACTGTTTGTCACATGGAAACAAAAAGAAGTGCAGCTAGGAGGCTCAGTGAACTTTTGACGGCCACACAGCTTGTAAGGCATGAGGACAAGATTCTGGTGCTGGTTAAAAAACCAATACCGGGCGCAGCGGGTTAAAGCACAGCTGAGAAGCTCAAGCCACTTCCGCATGAGTTCGATTCCCGCCTGCCCCGGAGGTGACCACATGGCGCGGCAGACCTCTCCTGACCCGCCCGCTGCTCCCCTCAGCA